AGAGAAGCAACAAAGAATAAGAAATTTACTAACAGTGAGAACAATCAACCAGTAGAAGGGCTTGCCTTCAGATGTGGGTGCCCCATCATTGGAGATTTTCAAGAAGAGACCGGACAGTCATTTGTCTGAAATGGTATAGTGTGTGCTGCTGAAGCAGGAGGTTGGACTAGATGACCTCCAAAGTCCCTTCCAACTCTGTTATTCTATGTTCTACTTAACACAACAATTCAGCTGGTTTCAACTTTCCACTTTCTTAGAAATCCAGCTCAATCAGAGGACAGATTTGAAATGTAGAAACAGGACTGCTCTCTATTGTGTATATTTATTGTGTTGGCGCTTTGACATCCACATGTTTATTGTTGTCAATATTTTATCAAACATAATTTATTGATTATATGGAATCAAGTTTGCATCAAGTGTTAGCAAACACGCAGATAAGATGAGAGTGAAGATTCGTTCTCTGAGCTTGTGGGTTGGTTTCCAAATGTTTTGTTACCAGACTAGGTAACATCTTCAGCAGAGTTTTGGGGAAGATGATGAAGATGTTATCTAGCCTGGTAATGAAATGTTCAGGAACTAACCCACAAGCTCAGAGAATGAACCTTCACTTTCATCCTACACCCAAACTACAGATATTCACCACTATTGCAGACATAGATAAGATTTTCTCCAGGACAATCTGTCTCCAGCCAGGTCTTCAAGTCTTCCAATAGTGCCACTGTCCCTGAGTCCATCCACGTTGCTGCTGTTCCCCTCTTCTCTTTCCTTCCACTGTTCCCAGCATCAGTGCCTTCTTCACATAATGTGCCTGAAGTAAGATAATTTGAGCTTCATCATTTGTGCCTTGAGTGACAAGAGTGTGCTGATTCTCATAAAGATCCTGTTTGCGCAAAGGAAACTAATGCATTGACAAGTACAGTTACTCCAAACCATTCGAAAGCCAAGAGAGCTCTGTTAGCCCTATGGTATACCCCTAATTTTATTGGGGCAAATCCAAATGGCACAAAAGGGCATTCAAGGTTTTGAGTGCTCTGCACCTCTTAATTAGGAAAGCTGTTATGAACATGTGATGGGTGAAGAATCAAAAGGGTTTCTTAAAAGTGTCCAAAGAATAAGGATAAACGGTTAAGCTGTGTTCAAAACTAAAATGTGGTTCAGGATTGGTGTTAGATGATGATATTGGGTTCTACCAGGGATAGAGGTAGCTGTAGCTCTCCACAATTCTGAACATGTAAATGTTATTAATTCTGTCTCTGCAGGTTTAGATTTGTTTTTCCCAGTGACATGGCACCGAAACGTGTTTGGCCAAAAACTTTCTGGTACTTGGAGTACATAATAATTGTGTCAGATCCATTATAGACAAAATCTGGAGAAGTCAGAAGGTTTTTTGCATCTGCATTCCGCAATAAATTGTGTTGTGCATGCTCCTCTGGGTTGCTTTCAAGTGTGTAATACCCGAGACAGCAAATGGGCTCCTCTGTCTTATGCTGTATATGCAGCCCGAGAGAAACAGTAGACTGGGTGTTGAATGTGTTAGTGAGGAAGAGGATGATGAGGCTTTCCCTGAAGGAAGTAGTAATGCACCTTCTCCTCAAGAAGACAGAGCAATGGTTGAGGGATCTGGGTGTACAGCTTGCCTTCAAAAGTTGTGGGTGCTCCATCACTGGAGACATTTAAGAAGAGACTGGACAGCCACTTGTCACAAATGGTATAGGGCCGTGATGGCGAACCTATGGCACATGTGCCAGAGGTGGCATGCAGAGCCCCCTCTGTGGGCACACGCACCATTGCCCCAGCTCAGCCAGCTGGTCGTCGGGTTTCCGACATGCACATGTGGGCCGGCCAACTGGTTGTCAGGTTTCCGAGGCACACATGCACACTGGCCAGTTGGTTGTTGGGTTTCCAGTGCTCTGGCATGTGTTTGGGCACTCCGTGCCAAAAAGGTTCGCCATCACTGGTATAGGGTCTCCTACTTGAGCAGGAGGTTGGACTACTGAACCTACAAGGTGTCTTCCAACTCTCTTAGTCTGTATTCTGAAGTAGAGTGTGTAGATTCCTTCCGGTTGGGAGTTCTGATCTAGGCACAGGATGGAAATCTCGTTAATTCTTCATAGATGGAACTTAGAGATGGAATATGCACCTCTCCTATTAGATCTCAGTGGCATTATAAACTGAACAGAATAGTGGAGTTGGAAGGCACCTTAGAGGCTCAACCTATAATATACCATTTCAGAATATGGTTGTCCAATTTCTTCTTAGAAATCTTTAGGATAAAATAAACCCCTAGTTTCTGTTTTATTCTATATCTATATCAAGAAAGACAAACTGGGATTTTTTATTTTGAGCTGCCTAGTGACTTGTTATGCAGGAGTGCATCAGCTTCCCTCCTCCTTTTTTGTAGGGAACTCTTCAGTTTTTTGCTACAGGGCAAATTATTTGAAAATATCATCTTTGCAAGGTTTTCAATTGATTGGCTTTTCTATTTTGATTATGATTTTATATTTGGTCTTCTCTTTGTAGTGGAAATACAGGGGATAGGTTTAATCATTAAAGAAATCAGGCATAAAAGTAAATGTAACATTGAAACAAAAGATTATTGCACAAAATACTTCACCTCTAACTCTGGACAGGATGGCACTTCCCCCTGAGCTCCTCCTCCTGACTCACAAGTCCTGCCCAAGTAGCAAGTGGCGGCTCTGGCTGGATGTTCATTTATTTATTTATTTATTTATTTATAAAATTTGTATGCCACCCTATCTCCAAGGACTCAGGGCGGCTCACACAACAATCGACCAACAACTATTAAAATCAACAAATATACACAAAAAATATATAAATTTTTTTTAAAATTTTTTAAAAATTTAAAATATACTACCCCATCAGTCCAGGCTGGATGGTGATGGGGTTTGTACAAATTCATCTAATGTGCCACTTGTGCCCTTTCCTGGACCTGGCGGCCTTGCTCACAATCACTTCTACTTTAGTCACCTCACATTTGGATTACTGCAATGCACTCCACATGGCCGTTGAAGACCACTCCTAAACTTCAACTGGTCCAGAATGGAGCCCCACACACAGAGTAATGGGGGACCCTAGATTTGCCCATGGAACACTTCTGTTGTGCAGACTGGCTTCTAGTTTCATTTTGGGTGCAATACAAGGTGCTAGTTATCACCTTTAAAGCCCTAACTGGCACAGGACCAGGTTATCTTCAGGACCCCTTTCCCTAAGGACATTACCTCAGAGGTGGGTTTCAGCAGGTTCTGACCAGTTCCGGAGAACCGCTAGCAAAAATTTTAAGTAGTTCAGAGAACCGGTAGTAAAAATTTTTGAAACCCACCACTGATCTACCTGTCCTACCAGATCAGATAGGGTGGGCACACTCCTAGTCCCTTCCCCTAAATATTGCCATCTGATGGGAGCTATGGCAGCCTTTTCTATGGCAGCCCCCTGCCTTATGGAACACACTTCTCTCTGATGTTTGTCTACCCTCCTAGCCTCCCATAATGCTTTTTAAAACTGGCTTTTCCCCGAGGTGCAGGGATAGAAGACTGTATGACTCGGTGCCAGGTTTTTGTTTTAATGTTTTTAATGTGCTTAGTTTTATAGTTTTATTATGCTTTTTATGTTGTTTTTACTTTGAATTGGGAGCCACCCAGAGTTGGTTATAAGATGAGCGGTTATATAAATGTTTTAAATAAATGTGCAAATTGGTATAATAGTGAGTAACTTTCTAGATAGGAAAACTGAAAGAGACTCTGCACAAACCAATGGGGCAGAATTTAGATTGGCTCAATTTTGTCCATAAAAAAACAATTTATTTCCCTTAATTGATTTTATTTATCTTTTGTAACTATGCTTTCTCTGTATATCCCAGCCTCTCAAAGAAACCGGCAATTGAACACCAATGTAGCATACTTTATTGGGTAATTTCTTCCCCACCTTTTGACCCTGGATGATCTCTAAGATAGTTAATATAAAAATGACTAAATGATCTAAACAATAATACAGATAATTTTTCTACATATTTTTTCCTTCTTTAGAAAAGTATTTTTCTTTCCAACACAGCTTATTTTCAGGTTAGCCATTAATGATCGGAGTTTATCTTCTCTCCTGCTAATATGAATTAGAAAACAGGCATCTAAACTGGCTAATTATGCATCTTTACCAGATAGAATGAATAATATGGCCAATGGGAATGAACAAAGCATTTTGAAGATTCCTTCCAAATAAATCTTCTGTACAGCTTCGCTAATCTCCAGATCTGATTTTATTTTACACTAGTTTACGTATTTCAAATTAAAAGAAATCCACACATCTTAAAGTCACCGAGGTTAAAAATGACTGTTCTATTCCTGTGTCACTTCTAAAGGAGGTTCTACTCTCCAGAGCAGTTTGAAGATGGTCCACGATTATCGTGACTGTGCCAGCCTCACTGCACAGAACAAAGAGCAAAAAAGTCACTGCTCTGCCTCAAGCCAGTGCAAGTCTTGAAGAAGTAACATTCCATGCAAAGGGAGATAAAATAAATTACTTGCACACACTTGCCTGCATCCATATTCTTAACTTCCTAATGGGTACATTTGTTGGGGCATAATCTGAGCAATTCCTATAAAGGGTAGCTTCAAAGTTGTCAAGCCATCTTTCCTCTTGGAAGTCCTACTACCTGCTCACAGTCAGGCCTTGTGGGGTAGAATTCTTGTCAATGGAGAAATGAAACTTTCACAAATTCACGAAGGTCTCAGTGTTCAGAGTTCAGAAAGAATCTAGTAGCACCTTTTTCCAACTAACACATTTTATGAGAGTTCATGAGATGTGCCTCACTTCGTCAGATGCATAAGCTCACAATGTCTTTTCATATTGTATCATATAATGTAATAGGGTATTGCAATTGTCATGTCATAGTTGAATATTCTGTATATTTGTTGTATTGTGCATTGTTTTTCAAAAATGGGGAAATAACTACCTACACATTATGAAATAATTCAAACAAATTCAAGTCAAAGTATTAGTCTTTATTTTTAACATATATTCGGCTCTAGTACATTGGCAGTGTAGCTCAAAATGTGCTCCAAGGACCCCTTGGCTGTCCCCAACATCTTCTCAGGGGTATGTAAAAATCAGAATTATTTGCCAGTCTATGTTGAAGAATAATACAATTTTAAAATCCCATCAAACGATCACGAGAAGCAGTAGTGGTAGTGAATGCATCACTTTTAGTTTTTAACTAGACAACCTAAAACCCCTTGGGACCTCATTTCAGAGACATTTCCATACTAGATTGCTCAATGCCTTCAATAATGGCAGAGCTTCTAATTACTAGGAAAGTTCTTTAAAATTCAGGAGATACTCAGAGATTACTGTACCTTGAAAGTAGCCCATGTCGAACTGTATAGCACAATCAAACATCAGAAGTTGACCACAGAAAATGTTTTATAGCTTTTATTATTATCATAAAACAGTTTGTGATTATTTGTGTTATTAAATATTTTTTTAAAATTGCCCAATTTTTAATTCCATGGGAATTGCAGGCCCTGGATTTTGGATGAATTCCGTAGGTAGACCTATTAATTATATCTTGGTTGAAATAATTTTGCCCTATGATGCATTTTTTTTTTTTTTTGGTCAGTTAAAGGTTACAGACATTAGAGTTTTAGTAGTACATATATATTTATTATGTATTTATTTATTAAATTTATATGCCACACATTTGATTGTTGAAGCAATTCTGGGTAACTTGCAAAATAATGAAAAGATAATATAAAATTATTAAAATTAAGAGCATTTAATCTCTCTTAAGTTTAGCCCTTATTTAAAGACTAAAAAGACTAAATGAAGAGAGATTAAATAGAGATCAAACTATTGAAATAGAAATATGATAAATATTGCTAAATAAAACACATACAAACGAAACCTGGTTTGGGATCCCCCATAATTTTTAAAAGTGGGAATGGGTCACCAGAGAAAAATGTTTATTTATTTATTATTTATTTATTATTCGAATTTCTATACCGCCCTTCTCCTTTCGGACTCAGGGCGGTGAACAGCCAAAATAAAAACATTTATACATAAATACGATTAAAAATAGATTTAAAATAATTAAATTTGGCCCATAGTTTAAGAAACACTGTCCAATGGTATAATATATAAAATTTAAATACAAATAGAATTCTGAACCAAAGAGGTTCCCAAAGAAAGGGAATATTTTGGAAAAAAAAGAACAGAAAACATTACAAAGATTACAGCAATACAGTGTTCAGATCCTGAAAATGCTACCTGTCTATTTACAGTATGTTATCAAACCATTCCAGATTCAGATAATTCAGATAGTAGGTAAGGAGAAATTAAATGAAATTTAAAATTTGCCATTCAAACTGGATTATTGGTTATTTTGAATACTGTAAGTACCTGTAAACAGGACCTGAAATTGTTGCAAGTTCTCTCACATTGTTTTGACTCTCTAACAATCTTCGTGTCATCCACTCTGTTTCTTCATATCTAAAACTTTGATACACAATGCGATTTCACTCATCCCAATTTTAACAACATCTCTGCTCCCCCCACTGCACCCAAACAAATGCCATTTTCAATTAATGGAGCTTTATATTTGTATGTATTTGTGTATACGGTGTATAAATTACATGGAGATTCACCTCATAGTATGTACTCCTTTAATGATGATAGCCACTTCTGCTCTGCCTTCTCACTTGGAATGTTGGTCACATTCTGTCCAATCATAATTCTTAAAATTTAGAACTGCTGGACAATGTTCTGAATAGTGCTTGTACATGACTGGGAGGCCAATTCTTGGAAAGCCTTGTTAATTCTCACACAAACGCACCAAACACCAAACAAACTTATTTTCTGAATAGTATGAACTTCCATGTCTAGATAAATATTCTGTAAGTATGTGTGTTTGTGAGAGATTTCTCATGAGAATGAAGCGCTCTTTTCATCCCTCCTTTATGAACGAATATCTAAATTGGAGCATGAGGAAATTTTTCCAGACCTAAGGATGATCGGACGTATTAGTGACAAAAGGATTCTTAAGAGTACAAAGTTATATAAAACTGAGAGAATTTGACACAACCTGGATTAAGGTTCCCTTTTATGATCTGGTGGCCTGGAGTTTCTTCCTATGAACTATAAAAAGTAAAGGAAAGTGGGCAATCTGAATCCTGAAATACCTGTTCCCAAAGGCAGGATATACATCAGAGCCATATTTCATTTATGAGTCATTGCTTTTCAGATTTGCTGTTTTGGGTTCTTATTTATCAATCCAGCACAGCCCCCACTTTCTTGGGGGAGATGCAGATGGTTCTTGAAATCTCACATGCTTTACTATTTCTGTTTTCAGTCCATGTACTGTATGTACAGTAGGCTGCCAATAGCACCACAATACCAAGAGTAATGGGGTAGGTGGGTGGAGAACCTTGTTGCTGTCTGATACCAGCTAAACGCATCTCTGCTTAAATTGTGTAGCTCTTTGTAGCTTCAATCTTATATATGTATGTTGTAAAAAAATAAAATTCCTTCCCCCAATTCCATTATTTATTTATTTATTTATTTAATTAGTCATATTTCTATGCCGCCCACTCTCCGAGGACTCTGGGCGGCTTACACCAAAGACAGTATACTAAATAGTATATTGCCCCCAACAATCTGGGTCCTCATTTTACCCACCTCGGAAGGATGGAAGGCTGAGTCAACCTTGAGCCGGTGAGATTTGATCCGCTGATCTGCTGAACTAGCAGTCAGCTGAAGTAACTGCAGTACTGCACTCTAACCACTGTGCTACCTCAGCTCTTGCCCGCCTGCGAAACAAATCCTCCATCTTCAAAGTCACTTCTGTTCATCAGAGTTCTAAAACTAAGATGGGAATACACATGCTCAGTGGTCCCTGGAAAGCAGCATCACTGACAAAGCAATTTGGGTGGGAAAAACAGACTAGAGAGAAGGAGAAATAATACCAGGAGAATGGGCTGAGGAATGTATCACATCATAGGCAAGTGAGCCACATGTTCCAGTGCTGAGGGAAACATCAGTATAAATCAGCCCTAATAGCACTTCTATACAGCCAGGTTTTTTTTTTTAACCTGCTCCAGAAGGACTCATTCCTGTGATCAAGAAGTTAACCAGTGTTCCTTCCAAGCAGCCAATGAGGTGCCTAGACATTGGTTCCCATCCTTAATGGTTTTTGCAGCAAGGAAAAGATCAAAGGTCACCATGCCGTGCAGCAGCTGCATTTCTGCTCATTGCCCAGGCTGGTGAAAGGGACAATGAGGCCTTGCCTTTAGGATGGAAAGGGGTCATCTGAGGAGCCAGGGCAAGTAGTCTCCAAGGAGACACATGGAGGAAAAACCCTCACCCTAAAATTCCAGAAGAATGAATGCAAATTTCTCCAAAGCCATCAGCTCATCTGCCATAGACCTTCCTTAAACCGTGGCATGTGGATCAAAATTATGGGGCTTCTGAACCAGGGTCATCAGCCCATAAGCGCAGAAGGCAATCCAAGGATTACTCTAATTATAGTCTAAAACACGCTCTCCAAACTTGGCAACTTTAAGATTTGTGAACTTCAATTCCCAGAGTTCCTCAGCCAGCCATGCACATACACCTACCCTATTTGTACAGCTGCCCATCTGACATGACTGGGCGGCGTATAGCATTTCAGTATTTGGTATCGTTCTCTGGGTTGCTTTGCAAACACTTCTTATTGCTTGGGAAAATGAAAGTAAAAAAATAGGACAAAAACATGAGTGTGTGGTGGGGAGGGAATACTCCGAAACAGAACTGATGGTATAGTTTACAGTTAAGAGCAGAGGGATTTTGATTCCGATCTCTACTCAGCCAAAAAGCCTCCCTGGTTAATCTTGCAGCACTTATAATCTTTGAGCCGAACTTACTTCAGGGTTTGTTTTGAAGATAAAATGAGATGGGAGAGAACGTTCGCTCTAAGGCATAAGATGAAAATGTGATAAATAAGAACACTTAACAATTTTTATTTCAAATATTAAGAGCTCAGATAGAGTGTAGATTATAAAGGCTAATTGTCATATTGTAGAGCATATCTCTAGTACCATCTGCCTCTTTTTTTAATTTTTAATGAAATGTATCCCTCAACGGTTGCCAATTGCTTTGGAAGTAGGATCAGAGTTGCTGTATACCTAACAGGGAGTAGAGAAACATATTTATATTTGTCATGCATGGCCTTTGGCTTTAAAGAGTTAATCTTTTCCAACACATATCCTGCAAATGCCTTGGACTACAACTCTGGCTGTCTTCAGATGGCACAACTAGCTATGCCGATTAGAGACGGTGGATGTTATAGCTAACCTGTTTTAGCAGCAACAGGCTAGGCAATTATTTTAGGAAATCTGATTCTGTTAAGAGTGTTACAAACGAGCTCCCTCTGTTGGAATTCAGAAGCATTGCTGGTTATTGCCATGCACCAAATGAAATGCAGATGATTTCTTAGGCAATGGAAATTCAGTGGTTCTATTTGGAGATTAATAAAGCGCATAAATCTTTACAGAAGCCTGGCAACACCAGCAAAGGCAAACTGGGCAATACGTTATTGTGCCATCATGCAGCACAAGGTTGCCACCCAAGTTTTGCTAAACATGTAAAACTTAAAATTTGTGACTCTTATGAGACTGGATTGAGCAAAGAGCAAGCTTAAGTGCATACAGATAGTCCTTGATTTACAAAAGTTCGTTTAATGACCATTCAAACTCACAACAACACTGAAAAAAGTGACTTATGACCATTTTCACACTTAAGACCATTGCGGCATCTCCATGGTCACCTGATCAAAATTCAGACCCTTGGCAACTGACTCATTTTTATGATGATTGCAGTGTCTGATCACCTTTTGCAATCCTCTCACAAGCAAAGTCAATGGGGAAGCCAGATTCACTTAACAACCATGTTATTAACTTAACAACTGCATTGATTCACTTCACTGTGGCAAGAAAGGTCCTATAATGGGGCAAAATTCACTTAACAAATGGCTCACTTAGCAACATAAATCTTGGACTCACTTGTGGTCGTAAGTCAAGGGCTACCTGTGTTAATAGCAAAGAAGATTTCTGTGACATCAGAAGCCTCCCCAAATGATTGCTGTAATCCTTCTCCAATCCTTACTTCCCTAAGAATAAAGGTGCTTCTGAATGAGTATTTTACCATGGAATCATTCCTGATTCACTCACAGAATGTTACAGAGGGCAGAATCCAGATGGTTTTGCCTTCCATTTGGAACACTTCTGTATTTATCCCCTACTTCTTCCTTTTAAACCTTACTATGGAACTGCTGTCCATCTGGTAGTTATTTAAATGAGCTTCAAGCCTGAATAAGGATGTGAATCTAAGAGCCCAAGGTCCCAGTCTGACTTCCTAACCATCACACCACAATGTCTTTCTCTCCCTGACATATCCTTTCAGACAGACAGATGCTCATTGGGTTGATCTTGAGATGATTGCAGAATAAATAAAAAATAAGCTTACAAATATTTCTTCACATAAATGCTTTTGCCCTACACAAGTCTAATAACCAACTGTCTCTCTTGCAGATCTGGATTCTTCAACAAAAGCAGTGCCAATTTTCATCCCACCTTGCCAGATGTTCCTTTGACTGTGTTCAGCCTCTGACAAACTATGTTCAATCCGATGAACCCACCGGTTAACAGCTACATGGAACACTGCTACCTTCGGCCTCTCCATGGGCAAGGTCAACCTAGTGCTATGGTAGAAGGTCAGTGCGACTGAAAGAGCCTCAAAGAGTTCCTACAACATCCTATTTAAGAGGGATTTCCAGATTTCTTAAGGCCTGGTATTTAGCAGGTTCTGACCAGTTCTGAAGAACCGGTAGCGGAAATTTTGAGTAGTTCTGAGAACCGGTAAATACCACCTCTGAGTGGCCCCACCCCCATCTATTCTCTGCCTCCCGAGTCCCAGCTGATCAAGAGGAAATGGAGATTTTGGAGTAACCTTCCCCTGGAGTGAAGAGGGAATGGAGATTTTACAGTATCCTTCCCCTGGAGTGAAGAGGGAATGGAGATTTTAGTATCCTTCCCCTGCCACGTCCACCAAGCCATGCCTACCAAGCCATCACACACCCACCAAGCCACACCCACAGAACTGGTAGTAAAAAAATTTGAATCCCACCACTGGGCTCTTTCCATGTCAGTTTGTCTAAGAGTCTAGGCAAGCTTGCAGTGGAAACCTTTTGTTGTGCGGTTCACTTCACGTTGGATGCTAACCAAATCGATGAGTCTTCCTTAATGCTGAATGAATCTAAAGTAGTGTCCCAGCATATACCAGATATATCTCATAGAGTATAGCCTGACAAGGAAAACTTTATATTAGAGGTAATCTAGATCTTGCTGACGGTAATGTTATGGCAGAGGAAAGAGATTGCAAGAGTTTGTTTGCGTCATAGTTAGAAACAAGTACAAAAGACCCCATCATAATTTTTGTCTTTAGCAGGAGAATGTTATTGCTCGTGCAAGACAGAATGTCATCCTACACACAAGGAAGAGATATCAAAAGTAGAAAAAAAAATCTTTTAGGGAAATAAACCTCAGAGGTCATTCCTCTATCCTCACCTCCATACCAAAAACAGCTTAGTGAGGAAAGGAAGATGGGAGCGGGGGTAGGGAAATATAGAACTGAATAAAATGAAATGGAACAAAATTGTATTCTACAATGCAACCATTTGTGGTACATCTGGCTTGCTAATTATAATAGCCAAATGGGATTGCTGTGTTCAGAACTAGTGGGAAAAGCCAATTTTATGCCTCATTGTAAATTCCCAGATGTATTTATCCAACTACTGATGGAAATAGATTGTCAAACTAAGTGGTCTTTGGTTTTAACTAGCAGGTCATTTCTATGATGTCTCAATTTCCATGTTTCTGTCTACTTGTCTCACCCTTCTATCTCTTTCCCTCCATATCTACGGCTTGCTTTGTTTTGCCTCCCCTTCACAGGCATCAGTGATTTACCATATTATCACCAAACTAACTCAGTGGGGAATCACCACACCTACGGATTGGTACCTGGAGGTGAACATCCTTCTCATACTGATGGTAAGGGTTTTTTTAGGGGGACTGTGGGAAAATGGGAATCTTTAGCGGATATAGATTATGAAATTATCAGCCAAGGATATATCCTCTTCCTCTCCCTAACAATAATGATTTTATCTAAGGCACCCCTTTCAGTTCACTCCATTTAATTTCCATATTGATGTGGGGGGTGAATTTCCTAGCAGATGAACCAGGGGTGAAATCTAGCAGGTTCTGACAGGTTCTGGAGAACTGGTAGCAGAAATGTTGAGTAGTTCAGAAGACCGGCAAATGACATCTCTGCCTGGCCCCACAGTGAGGTGGGAATGGAGATTTTGCAATATCCTTCCCCCAGGAGTGGGGAGAGAATGGGAATTTTGCAGTATCCTTCCCATGGAGTGGGGTGGGAATGGAAATTTTGCAGTATCCTTCTCCTGCCATGCCACCAAGCCATGCCATGTCCAAGCCACGCCCACAGAACCGGTAGTAAAAAAAATTGGATTTCACCACTGAGATGAACTGCTACCTCCTTGGTCTCTACCGCTTCTGGGATGCCTCTGAAATGCCCTACTTAATTCCTCTTCGAAGAATTTTCTGTAGCCATATTGGAGAAGAAGACAAGTCTTACCTGCCTGAGAAATCATTTGGGTATCAAGGATGTGAATTGTTCCACGTGACAAATTAGACAATTAGTGGTTTTTGGATTTTTTTTTTCACATTTCCCCCCTGCTTTTTCTTTTTCTTTCTGAATTATTTTGATGGCAAAAGCATGTAGTATTGTAATTACTTTAAAATGAGCCGGTGAAATAAACAATCATGTTAGCGAACTAAAGTAAAACTTTGAATCATAATAATTGTGAAAAAATAGACAGACAAAATAGATAGATGATAGATGATAGATAGATAGATAGATAGATAGATAGATAGATAGATAGATAGATAGACAGACAGACAGACAGACAGACAGACAGACAGACAGACAGACAGACAGACAGACAGACAGACAGACATTTTAATATCCAAAATTTTATTGAAGAATTCATGGAACCATCTTGACAGATCTTATTGTGCATATATGTAAAATAAATTATATATTTATTTCCTTGTGAGAAATCCCTCAATTAGCAGCTCAAGGCCCTTAATAAATAAAATCCTTGTGGTATAATTTTATTTTATTTAATCAATTTATTTATATAGATATAAAAGTAAATACAATTATAGAATCAGTACAAAAGATAAGCCCTGTGGAGGTTTCTAAATTTAGGAATGTCAGTCTTTCAAAATTAATTTCTAAAAAGAATGGAAAAATAACCTTCTCTTTTATTTTGAAAGCCTGCTGTGTAAATATTGCAGTGAGAGAATTCCATCTGGTTATGGCTCAATAGAAACTCTAAGCCATATGCTTTATGCTGCTCCCTAAATAAAGACAGATCTTAGGCAAACTTTCATTTATCCAAACTTGAAGAAATTTCCAGGCAGGGAGTGTGATTTCTAGTTACTGTTATTTCTTCTGGACTCCCAGGTTGCCCAGTTTTGTGCTACAATCTGTACTATACGTTGCACTATCAATTAAGTTTGGATATTCCTTTCATCATCATTCTTTACAATGCTATTTTTAGTATTGTTTTATTATATATGTTCTTACTTATTTTTAGATCCTATGATACTCATTGTTTTTCTGCTGCATACTTAGATGCATGTAACAGTTCTTCTACTATTAGCTATTTTACCATACCTGACCCTATGACTGTGATAAATTGATTTCATTGAACTCAATCAGTCATCCTTCAGGTTTTGGACCAGAGGTAAGATGTAACCCAAGAATTAAGAAGTTCTATCTCAGAATGCCTCAAAATGCTTTGGAAACTGAAGTCGAGAACAGAGACTTTCTAACTGCTACAGCTTCTATCAGCCACTGCCAATGATGGGAACTATAATTCTGGCACATCCAAAGGGCTTTAGGTTTCCCATCCCAGCTCAGGAAACTAGACATATGGAGAAATGAATTTTCATATTTATCCATGTTTTTCTTATTTGTTTGTCAGCTTTATATCTTGCCTTTCTTTCAGGAGCTCAAGGAAACATACAGGTAGTCCTCCACTTACAACCATTTGTTTAGAGACCATTTGAAGTTACAACAGCACTGAAAAAGTGACTTATGACCGGTTTTCACACTTACGTCCGTTGCATCATTCCCATTGTCACATGATCAAAAATCAGATGCTTGACAACAGATATGTCCCAGGATCATGTGATCGCCACTTGTAACCTCCCCAGCTGGCTTCTGACAAACAAAGTCAATGGGGAGGGAGGGAAGGAGAGCCAGATTCACTTAATGACTGTATGATTCACTTAACAACTTAACAATTATGGCAAAATGGTCATAAAATGAGCTACGACTCACTTGACTGTGTTGCTAAGCAACATAAATTTGGGGCTCCATTGTGGACATAAGTCAAGGATAACTTTTCTGCCCCTTCTCATTTTCCCCTCCAAGGGAATTCTTGTTGGTAGGTTGGGCTGAGAGAGAGAAACGCAAAATTCCTCAGTGAGCTTCCATGGCTGAAGATAAGCTTGAACCTAGATCTCTTTAGTTCTGCACCAGCCCTTTAACAGAGCTGGGATTCAGCCAGTTCAGGCCGGTTCAGGCGAACCGGTAGTTAAATTGCTGGCTGGTCTCTCCCCGCCCCTTCCAGGAGTCCCCATGCGCCCCATTTTGGCTCCCAGGTAAGTGCAGGGAGGCCTCCTAGGCCCAAAATGGGACATGGGGGGGTGGTGTCTCCCTCTTGCCCTGTTTTCACTCCCAGGAGGCTTCAGGGAGGCCTACTAGGCCCAAAATACGGCCAGCTTTTGCTCCCAGGGGAGTGCAGGAAGCCGAGTGCTGCCTGACACACCCCCTGGCCACGCCCACCCAGCCGGTCGTTAGGGCAGAGAACCGGTTGTTAAATTATTTGAATCCCACCATTGCCCTTTAACCACTGCATCACATTGCTTTCACCATGATCTAAGTCCTGGGATCCGAATCTCTCTTCCCAAGTAGAATCAGTTCTTCTTTCATGGCAAAATTATATCCCTGGGATCTAGTTCATGCTTAGCAGGCTGAAGATCGCAGGGCCAATCCTTGCCATTTCCAATAAAGATTAGGAGAGAATCCTGCTTGAAACTAGAGGCAAAACATTGCCAATTCATACTAACTGTCCTGGGGCTGTTTGTCTCATTGGAGTTTCCTTTGTTCTTCCTGTGTTTCCCCAGGCAGTCGTTTTTCTACACCCCGGAGCACAGCAAAGCTGACCAAAAAGCGGGCCCTGTCCATCTCGCCACTCTCAGATGCCAGCATTGATCTGCAAACTGTCATCCGCACCTCTCCCAATTCTCTGGTGGCTTACATCAACTCTCGCTGTGCTTCAGCTGGGGGCTCCTATGGGCACCTCTCCATCGGTGCTGTCAGGTAGAGACATGTTATTCAGGTAGACAGCCTTCAGAGACTGCAACACCAATTGCTGACTACCATAGGAAGTTGAAGCCCTCTTAGTTTAATACAATTTATTTATTTATTTAGAAAATTTATGTTGCCGCCTATGTTGCACATGGCGAGTCAAGGCAGCTTACAAGGATATGAAAACACCATATAAAAGAAATAACATTAATAAAAGTAAAAATAATAATAATAACAACAACCACCCCTGGCAACAGCTCACATTCATACTAGCCATGTAATGGGCTCCATCCCACTCTGGGTTTCCCAGGCCCGCTGGCAGAACCACGACTTCAGGGCCTTCTGAAAGAGTGTTAGAGTGGTGCCCAATCTAATCTGCAGAGGAATGATGTTCCAGAGAGAGGGGGCCACCACAGAAAAGGCCCTTCTTCTGGGTCCCTTAGGGACTTACACTTACTATGCAGAACGATTCACATCTTCCCAAAGTGACACCAACTAGGTGCCTTACTAAAGTCACTCTGTAGCAGAACCAAGCCAAGATTGATCATTTGGCCTTTGTTGAAAACTACATCCCAAAACTCTTAACATGGGACATCCACAGAAATGGATAGGCAGGTAGGACTGACCAAGGTCATCTTAGTATTTTACCCCTCAATTTTCCAACCCTTTAGATTGGACTGAATTTCTTCGTTGATTTAAAAAAAATCTAATCCATGTTTTCAAAACGCTAGCTATGAGGGGGAAAAGTCTGTTTACAGAGTCAGCCTATTGCCCCCAACAATCTGGGTCCTCATTTTACCATCCTCAGAAGGATGGAAGACTGAGTCAACCTTGAGCCAGTCAGGATCGAACGGCTGGCGGTGGGCAGAGATAGCCTGCAATACTGCAATCTAACTATTGTGCCACCACAGCGCAGAGTCCATGAAGTTACTTTTTTTTCCCCCACCACACAGTCACCCTTTTAGTTGCACTGCCGTGAAAGAAGCAACCCTTGTTACGCTTGTAAAACTTGGCAAATGAATTCTTGTGAGGCAAGTGCTTATGCTTTTTCTCATCCCCACAGCCCTTCACTTGGGTTCCAGAAACCTCAAGGCATGTCCTTTGGCCACAACCCCACAACAGTTCCCTGTGGGCCTCATGAACACGTGACTAGCCGGCCGGGGATGATGCACCATATGCCACCCCCTCGTGGGATGCTGAAGCACTGCCAGGTAAGAAGGTGCCCACCCAGCCCTTTGAGATCTGTCACCCTAAAACAGGCAGATATCTTATGCCTCGAAGATAGCAACTTCTAACTTGTTATGCGGAACATCGGGACCTGCAGAAAAGAGACAGAGGAGAGAAAAACCTGCCATTACCAATATTTAAAACTCCTAGGGGTGCCCTATCACACTTAGAAAGATCTGTTGAATGAGTTTGGGAGAGGAAGATGGGGGGGCTGTGGAGACTAAGGGGACAGTGTTTGGGGCTGGGGCTATAGTTGGAGGGGGTGCCATCACCTGGAGCTCTCGCCGTCTCTCTCCCACAGCTGAAGTCAGAGTCCAGCCTGGGCAGCCCGCTGGATGCCCTGAGCACCAAGTGCCTGGAGGAGTGCTCGGAGGGTGACATTTCCAGCCCTGCCTCTACGGGGACACAGGTAACAGCAGGCCTCAGCAATGTGCTCACAGGCCCACAGATGCACCCCCTCTCCCCACCCATAGCCTGGGGACCGGCTCACGGGGTTGAAAAGGAGGAAGAGAATGAACAGGATGTCAGACCATTCTCTCTCAGAGGCAGTGTTACACAACCATGTTGGTGTGATTTTCTTTTCCCCCCCTGAACATCCATAGCTCACAGGTGGTTAGATTAATCATAGTAGGGTCATTATACACCAGTGGTGGCTAAGCTTTTTGTCGTTGTGTGCCAAAAGCATACACGCACATTAGCGTTCGCGTACATGCACACCCATAATGCAATGAGTGCATGATACCCCCGCGTGCTCCCCCCCCCGCGTGGATGCATGCCAACCCCCCCATGTGCACCATGCGCATGCGTGCGGGTCCCACCACGCTCCAACCTCACAGGCGTGCGCCCCTTTGTGCGTCCCACACCCGCAAACCCCGCGGTCCCCTGCCCCTTGTGCATGCACGCACGACCCCCCTCCCCCCATGCATGCACATGTGCCTCCCACATGCATCTGGTGCATGCGTGGCCGAGATCCGAAAACTAGCTGGCTGGCGGGAGGTGCACACACATGCGCGGTAGAGCAGAGCTGGATCGACGGCTCGGGTGCCTGCAGAGAGGGCTCTGTGGCACGTTTGCCATAGGTTCGCCATAACGGTTATACACCATCGCTACTTTTACCTGTTTAATGATGGAGAGCCACTTTGGACATGAGAAAAGTCTACCTGTGGATCAAAACTGTGCACAGCCTTCTTTATAGGAAGGTTGGAGAGATTTCTTATGTTGGGATTCTTTCATGTGACAAAAAAAAAAAAATCAGAAATATTACAGATAAAAAACATATTGTGTGAAGGAGAGCAACAGTTCTACATGTGCAGCTTATCCATAGGAAGTGCCCCATAGGAGAAAAATCCCACCATGAGTACCCGGAAGGGCTTGAGTAGTTGGTTGGCACCTGCTCCGGCTGAAACATCTGTATCAGGGGTGCAGTTACCCCGAGAGACAGCCAGCAGAAGACATTCTACAGTGACTGTTACTATACTATTATTTAGGACTGCAGTTAAATCAGCAGTGGTATGGCGAGATATCAGTTCCTTAATCCAACCGTGAAAGAAACCTACCCCTGCAAATAAGTTATGTTTTCACTCCATTTATTTATTCATTGTGCTCACTGGCACCTCCTTAAATCCAACATATCTTTTCCTGGGGTCACGTGACACTGAGACACAAGCCCGAGATTCGGCTTCTTTAAGAACTTGCTGTCAAGTGTAACAGGCGTGCCCACACAGGTTCCGGATTGCCTTCTTCTCTCGAAATCCAGAGCTCTGGACAGCCCTGTGAAATGCATTAGAAGCAATCTGATTCTGCCATTCAGTAGGCAACGATCACCCAGGATCCTTACCTAGCCTCACTCCCTGGGATGCCCTGGACTGAATCAGAACCTTTTTACATACCGAACATGTGCTGAACTAATAAATGATGGCTCCTCATTCTGCCCTCAAATCTTCACATCAGCCATGTTACATACAAATTAAATAAAATGAAATGAAAATGTGGTGGGTAAGAAGAGACCAAGATGACACTCAAGACCACGGAACCTTTGTTAGAGTGTAAAGTGGGGAGAACTATCTGTTCTCTTTTGGTGAATTGAAGTGAAAGAAAATTTCCAGTGAATTTTCCCAGAGTATCTTTGAATATGCATTTTATTTCCACCCCAGGACCCCTTACTAAGTGTTCTTGATCCACGAGATGAATTGGAGAAGGAAGACGGGAAGGTGGAAGCTGAAGCAGTTTATGAGACCAATTGCCACTGGGAAGGATGCACCAAAGAGTTTGACACTCAAGAACAGCTAGTGCATGTGAGTTGACAGGGTAACAAGGGCCCGTGTCCCGATATTCTACTTGAAATACATCTCAGAAAGAGGCCTGTTTTATTTTTATATAGTTTTCTGGCAAGAGGGAAGGATGAGTATCAGTGCTTGGTACTCAACTGCTATGAAACTCATCAAATTTGGTACTCAATGCATTTTGACAGGGATATTTTGTCACGATGCTCATCGTTCGTTTGTTACTCAACACACAAACTAGAACTTGTCGGTGTCAGCTGCCTTGTGACTCATTACATTATTCCTTATGGGAAAAATGTGTTTGGTACTCATTGTGCCTCCCAGAACCAATTGACAATACTGAGGTACCTCCATATTAACAATCAGTAATAATAGAGAATTCTGTTGGCAGTCCTGACATCACTGCACATGGATTGGCATTCTTACAGTCCTGTGGTTGGCTGCAGATCTGTTGATTAACAGAATAATAGAATAACAGAGTCGGAAGGGCCCTTCGAGGGCTTCTAGTCCAACTCCCTTCTCAAGCAGGAATCCCTATAGCATTAAATGGTTGTCCAATCACTTCTTAAAAACATCCAATGTTGGAGCACCCACAATTTCTGGTGGCAAGTTGTTGCACTGATTAATTGTTCTAAATGTAAGGAAAATTCTCCTTAGTCACAACGTATGGTTGTGACTACTGCAACATTCATTTGCCTGAGAAAGTGACACCAAAGTGAGTCTCCTGGGTCTGCTGCGTAAGTCTAGATGGCTTTAATAGGGGAATTATGATGAAGGCATTAAGCATATTCACAGAATTATAGTATGCTTAGTACACCAATTGATGTTTACGGTGTGAGTTGGCCCTCATCTCTATTCAAAGCTAAGAGATAGTTAAAACCTTTCATATGTGTGAAAAATTGTAACTTCTTTCTAGCTGGTAAGAATATTTTTATTAATACATAAGATCCAGTGGTGATATTCTGCCGGTTATAACCAGTTCGGACGAAGCGGTAGCGGCGGCGGTGGTAGGCTTCACCCACCTGCCTGGACGTCATCACGTCCCATTTTTGACATTCTGCGCATGCGCAGAAGGTCTTGCGCATGCGCGGAGGTGGCTTGTGCGGCATAGGAGCGTGCTCACATTTGCAAACCAATAGCGAAGGTAAGTGAATACCGCCACTGATAAGATCACACAAGTTTGTCACGTCAGTGCTCTTTATTTCCATTAAGATTTACTGTACATGCAATATGCCATTTTTTCCTCACAACAGTTCTACAGAATAGGTTAGATTAAGAAATATTTTACTTTCCCGAGGAGCTTTATGGCTGAGCAGAGCAACATTATCATTTTTTATCTTGTTTTATCATTTTCTTTTATTAATTACCTTCTCAATAGTTCTGTAAGCCATATACCACAATGCAGCAAACAAGCCAAAAAGACAAAACAAAGAATATTGTAAAATATCCAGTACATTAACCCAGAAAGGGTTAATATACAGTATTATAGTAAAAGGGATACAAGAATCATACTGATATGTGTACTGAAATGTTGAATTACATGTGTGTAAAACAAAAGGGTTCCCCCCCCCAATAATTTAATTTAATCTCCCTAGTTTGCAGTCCTACGTGCAATGGATGAACTCTAAAACAACTTCTCCTGTTCTCCTGAAGTCAGGGGAATTCTGAAATAGTCACTGCCCCTTAATTCTGGTCTCTGTGCTTCTTCTTCATCTCTAACATCGCAGCATATTAACAATGAGCATATCCATGGGGAAAAGAAGGAATTTGTGTGTCACTGGCACGACTGCTCACGGGAACAACGACCCTTCAAAGCTCAGTACATGCTGGTCGTCCACATGAGGCGCCATACGGGAGAAAAACCTCATAAATGCACAGTAAGTAGGACAAGCACAAACGGCTGGCATTTGAGCTAGCTGGCATACCTAAAAAGAGAAGCAGGGTTGTCTGGAGCATGGGTATTGCAAACAAGGCAAGGGAGGCAAGCGGCCAATGTGCATCATGCCGCTGTGACGCAAATGCCATCATCTTTGAATTTGCATCAGGCATCAGGATTGTAAGTACAGGCAGTCCTTGACTTACAGCCACAATTGAGCCACAATTGTTAAGTTGTGAGTTTTGCCCCCATTTTACCACCTTTCTTGCCTCGGCTGTTAAATGAAACACTGCAATTGGTAAGTTAGTAGCTCGGTTGTTAAGTGAATCTGGCTTCCCCATTGTCTTCGCTTGTCAGAAGGTCGCAAAAGGGGATCACATGACCTTGGGACACAGCAATGGTCATAAATATGAACCGGTTGCCAAGCATCTGAATTTTGATCACGTGATCGTGGGGATGCTGCAAAGGTTGTAACTGTGAAAAACGTCCGTAAGTCATTTTTTCAGTGCCGTTGTAACTTTGAATGGTCACTAAATTAACTGTTGTAAGTTGAGGACTACCTATACATAACTGGTAAGATTTCCATCATGACATCACTGCACGTGGGTTGGCATTCTTATAATCCTATGGTTGGCTGAAGATCTGCTGATTAATAGTATAACAGAGTTGGAAGGAGCCTTGGAGGTCTTCTAGTCCAAGCACCTGCTCAAGCAGGAAGCCCTATAGCATTAAATGGTTGTCCAAACTCTTCTTAAAAACTTCCAGTGTTGGAGCATTCACAACTTCTGGAAGCAAGTTGTTCCTCTGATTAATTCTTCTAACTGACAGGAAATTTCTCCTTAGTTCTAGGTTGCTTTTCTCCTTGATTAGTTTCCACCCATTGCTTCTTGTCCTACCCTCAGGTGCTTTGGAGAATAGTTTGACTCCCTCTTCTTTGTGGCAGCCCCTTACATGTTGGAACACTACTATCATGTCACCCCTAGTCCTTATTTTCATTAAACTAGACATACCCAATTCCATTAGATTAGATTAGAACATTTCCACATTATATTGTTTCTCCACTACAAACCTTCAACTCATGAACCTCGTTATCTTTCGCCTGCCTCGGAATACTGCCTCAGAATATTAACATGAGCCAAATATTGCTTCCACCATCCAACCAAAGCAGAGTCCTAAAATGATAAGTCAGTCAGTGCCACTATCGCTAATCTATTGCAATTCCTTGAAGAAACAACCCCCCCCTGCAAAAAAATAAATTGCAAACCCCAAGCCCACTCCACTCCAGTATTTTCAGTGCATGAAACATGTTTGGCCGTTATGCAAAAAACAAACAAAAACACCTCAGTTGTTAGGAAGGGCTGCCTTCCTTCCTATTAAGGCATGATTCTTCCTGAGGAAGAGATCCCATTCAACGTTGTGATGCCAACATAACTCCGTAATTTTGCAGCCAGGTGCTTTCCCCACTGACTGGAACCGTAACCGTAGGTGGCATTGAGGAATCTTTATCCATAGAGATGTGTGCAGGATAATAATCAGCTTCACTGATAAAGTTGCCCATGAAATCTACCAGACACCTAGAATCGGGAGGCAGGTTAAGGCAAGAATTTCAGTACACGAGGAAATATTTTAGCCTGGCTAAACCACAAAGTAGGCTTTGAGGGAAATTCTACCATGCAGTGAACCTCTCTCCTTGCTTTTATTTTACAGTTTGAAGGCTGCAATAAGGCCTACTCACGGCTGGAGAACCTCAAGACCCACTTGCGCTCCCATACTGGCGAGAAGCCTTACGTTTGTGAGCACGAAGGCTGCAATAAAGCTTTCTCTAACGCTTCTGACAGGGCCAAGCACCAAAACCGGACACATTCCAATGAGGTATGGACAACTGCTTGAGGTAAGCCTTGACTATAATGGCTGAGGTAAATGGACTCCCAAAAGAAGGCCCACAATTTGGTATTGGGTGTATATTACCTTGTCAAAAAAAGGTTTTTAAAAAAGGTAAAGAAGCATTCTCCGCCCCGAAGGTATCTGTACCCTAATGGCCTGTCTGTCTTCTGGCAGAAACCCTATGTCTGTAAGATCCCCGGCTGCACCAAACGCTACACCGATCCCAGCTCACTGCGGAAACATGTCAAGACAGTGCATGGGCCAGATGCTCACGTCACCAAGAAGCACCGTGGAGACACTGTACCCACCAGTCGGACTCTGGCTCTCCATGGTGACATGAAGCAGGAGAAAGATAGTGAGGTCAGGAAGGAAGAGGGCAAACTCATGGTACCTGATTCTAATTTGGTGAGCAGCACGGGGTGGAAATGGAGAGAAGGGTGGGAGAAGAGGACATTGGACTGTAAGGGGTGCTTGATGGGCAGGTTGGGCCGATACTGAGGTCGCATTTAGGGGCAGACTTTCTTGAATTCAGGGAACACACCAAAGGACAATTCCCACCCCATTGATCTTAGTATGTATTGTACAGCAAAAGCAAAGATGTGTGAAATGTTCTTGAATGAACATCTCCACATATGGAAAGCAGATCTGGAGACAAGAAAGGGAAATCAAAGCACTTTGTTCTCCACATCTGAACTGCGTATGCCCAGAAATTGGTACTGTATGTTTGCGTCATCCCAAACATCTTTTTTGTGTTAAATAAAAACACAGGTTAATCTTCATGGTTATAAAGGGAGAAGGGGCTTGAAAGTGTATGCCACCTTCAACAGCAAGAGAAATTTAAATCAGATTTCTTATAATCGGGGTGTAACAGCTGAGACTTGTTGCAATGTAGCAAACGCCTACAGTTAATAGAAGCAGAATTTGTGGTGCAAAACCATCACACACACCCAAAGCTGCACAGTTCACCAATTTTAATTCTTCTATGTGCGGAACTCAAATTATTTTGCCTTGGAATTTTTAGTTAAATCTGTAGCAGTTTTAGGGCAACTATAAATCCTTGGGCATAAATGTGTGTCATGTCATCCTTGTCACAAGTGTACTTATCTCCAAAGAGAGGAGAGAGAAAATTGGTTTTAAACTGCAGAATAAGATGAGGTCGTCTCGAAGGTTAGCTTCAAGATCAAACAATGAGCAATGCTGAAACCGGTAGCCGTTTCATGTATTCAGTAGCAGCTGTCTATCAAGACTGACACTGAGCCTCCTTTTTCACAAAAATTTGGCTTGCCGCCCAAGGCACACCTTAAGAAAGAATGTGAAATAGTTAGCGCAGAAAGCAAACTTGAGCTGAAACCATCACTTCAATAAGATGCTTCTGTATTTCCACCTCCACCCAGAAGCCGCAACCCAGCCCTGGGGGTCAATCGTCCTGCAGCAGCGAACGCTCCCCTTTGGGCAGCGCTAATAATAACGACAGCGGCGTGGAGATGAACGCAAATGCGGGGGGAAGCTTAGAGGACTTGTCCGCGTTGGAGGAACCATCTGAGCCCATGGGAACCTCTGGGCTCTCAGCACTGCACAAGCTGGAGAACCTGCGCATTGACAAACTCAAGCAGTTGCGTAAGCCCCTCTCAATGAAGGGGGTCAAACTTCCTTCCATCCCCGGGGCAGGTAAGTGGGGAAAGTTTGGAACTTTCATGGCCACTAGAAGGCAATGAAATGAACCGCATCACCGCCAACATGGCTATTCAAGCAATTCCAGCTGGGGGAGCTGGAATTCCCGTTTTTTTGGGGGGGGAGACATTTTTAGGAGGGAAGCAAAAGCTCTCTTCCAAGCACCATCTTGAAGGACAGTCTTCTTCCTTTCATTCTTCTTCCTTCCCTTCACTATTGTCCCTAAATTTTGCCTCCTTCTCCGGATCCTTTTCTTAGTAAAAATCACTTGGAACGAGTAAATCTTCCAGGTGGTTCTGAATCTATTAATTTGCGTTGATTTATTTCATTGCCTCCAAACCAGAAGAGAGATTCTTTGTGGGAACCCTAAAACAGTTGAGTAATTATTTAGAACCAAGATCCAATGTTGAGCAGGCTTTGGATAAGTTTAAAGCTGGAGAAGTATTGATGCAGTGGGAAAGAGAGAAAGGGGTGGGGGTGGGAGATGATCTGCTCTGCTTATTGATAAATCTTTGGAATTTATTTTAAAAATCACAAAACAGATGGTCTGCAGGCTGTGTCCTTTTAATTGCTTACTTTGACTTTTTTTGCAGGTCCTGCAAGAGAGATGCCTGGCTTGTGCGGGGGCCCCTCTACAGCGGCTTCTCACCGGCGCGTTATGGAGCTCTCATCCAGTGATCTGCCTTCACTAACTGTGGCAGGAGACCGACGAGGTAGCACTACCAGCACTGTCAGTTCGGCCTACACAGTCAGCCGTCGCTCTTCCATGGTATCACCCTATCTGCCAGCCGGGGGTGCCCCCAATGGATTAGGCCCACCGGATATATATGACTCCATATCCCCCGATGCCTCAAGACGTTCTAGTGAGGCCAGCCATTGTGGAGGACTTCCAGGGCTGGGTAACCTCACTCCAGCCCAGCAGTATCGCCTCAAGGCCAAATATGCCGCCGCAACGGGTGGGCCACCTCCTACCCCTCTCCCCCATATGGACAGAGCCGCTCAGTCAAATCTCGTAGGGGATTATTCTAGCTCGTGCTTGCCTCCTTTTGTGCATGAGCACAGCACAAACGATTACCATGGTTACAGCAGCACTGGCATTCTCCATCCCCACCTGAGCCACAGCGGCCGGCGAGCCAGCGACCCCGCGCAGGCAGTGGCGGAGGCCCATCCGGTTCCACGAGTGCAAAGGTTTAAAAGCCTCAGCAACATGAGCCCGGCAAGTGCAGGGAGACCTGGTGGACAAGTGACGGGGGGCACCGAGGCCAACCTTCCCCACCATCTCTTCTCCCCACGGCCACCAAGCATCAGCGAGAATGTTTTTTTGGAAGCCGCCGCTATGGAGAGCACCATCCCGGCTGGGGAGCCAGAGGTGCTGGAGATGGAACCTTACCTTACCTACCAGGAGCGGAACTACCCATACCAAGCAACGGCCATGGAGCTGCAGAGCAATCTCACTCATCGAGGCACCTTGAAGCTGGTGGGTGATTTACAAATGAGTCCAGTGACCCACGAACAGCTAGAAGGTGGTTTTGAGCAACCAGACTACATCCAGTCTCAGTGCCAGATGAACGTGGCTTTCCACACTGCACGGCAGTGGGACAGCAACAACTCAGGGATAAATCCTGCATCGCTCCCTGGCATGGGGCAGTGCCACTCCACCCAGTATCCAATCCCTGAAGCTAAGCCCATGGGAGCAGAGCCTGCCAACCATAGCCGACAGGGGACATTCCAGTTTGGCCAGGCACATATTAAAGCCGAGCAACAGTTCCAACCAGCCACGGCTGCTCTTGCCTCCTGCCAGAGCATGAAGCAGGCGTTATACAACCAGTCTCAACCAGTCTGTGGAGATGGCGGATATCATCCCGAAAACCAGCAGGGCTCTTGCTATGGTGTGGGGCAGCCCCCGAGCAGGAGATCCCAGACCCCGATGTTGCAAGTCAAAGAGATGATGGTACGGAGTTATGTGCAATCACAGCAAGCACTGATGTGGGGGGAGCAGCCGGCCAGCAACGTCATGGATGGCACAGAGAATGGGCACAGCCAGCAACACCAGCCTTACCCTGGTGTAAAGTATCCAAGCTACCCTGCCAGGCCATCTCCAGCTATGGAAAACAAAGCACTTTCAAGCCCCAACAGCCAGTGTTATAATCCAAGGATGGTCCCACATCCACCTGGTGGACCAAAGCCACTGAACCGTCAAAGCAACTTGAGCTATCAAGCTAGCCCTTCTTATGAAACCCCCGGTGATGGTGGCTCCCACCATATGATGCGCTTACCCCCTCTTCACGGTCCTGAAGAAACAGGCTTTCCCATCCCAATGCACGTGCCGCTGAGCAAAGCTTCTGGGCACAAGTTGATGAATACCCACCAGAGGCACCATCAGCCCCCCAGCTGCGTGGCTGAGGATCCCGGTGGGCCTTATGCTCCTGGGCTGGAGGCCCCTAAATCTGACTCTTTCTCTTATCTGCCAGAGGAGCAGGTGTCTAATAGTTTGGACACTCTGGACTTAGAAAACACCCACTTGGACTTCACCGCCATCCTTGATGACACAGAGGCCCTTAGTCCTACCCCACCTGGGGGCCCGACCAACATGGCGGTGGGGGATATGAATTCCATGCTGAACTCATTGGCAGGGGAGAACCAGTTCCTTAATACCCTTTCCTAGTATGTTTAGACAAGGCTCTGATGACGAAGACTGCTATTTATCAGAATCAGGCTGATATGAGAGACAAGCATGACTCTTACTGGGCCGAACTCACTGGGGAGAGAGCTGATTCTAACTAGTAACCTCCAGGTTCCTTGGTACAAAATAGCATTTTTTTTTTATTCTTATACACCCTAGATAAGCTGATCTGCTGATCGGATGGGCTGAAAGATGGGCAGCTAATGGGAAAGGAAGTGTGTCTCTCCCAGGCCCTTAGTGAGAAAAACAGAACTCAGGGCTACCTAGATTTTTATCTATGGTCATTCATCTCTTCTTCCCACTAAATCCTCTTTCCCAAAGAAAACCAGTATTTTTGATAAGCTTCCCAAGTGCCTCTTTTCAAATCTATTAAGAAACAAGAATGTTACAAAGCATTTCTTGCACAGTGCCTCAGAGTTTGTTGATAGGGTACGTTAAGTCTGTTATCGTATATATTGATAATACTTAGATATATATTTATAAAAGCAAGCTTAGATACATGCAGTGCTGCAAAAATGTGCAGAACTGTCACTTATTCATACATCTTTCCTGTAAAATACACAGAGGAGGAAAGACATCTGGAGGAACAGCATATTAAAACTGCCTCCGTTGCCACATGGAGTCTTTTAAGCATGATTGTAGGACCCTCCCAGATGCTGGAATATACATTGCACCCTCCTTGGCTTTTGACCATGTTGGTTTGGGCTAATGAGTCCAGCAACATCTGGAGGACGAGAACGGTCCCACCCTTGGAAGTTGCTGAGTCTCGGGTCATATCCCAATACATAATACTCCACATTCAGCTCCATTCCTACATTTCAGCTCCCAATTTGCCAAGCTAGCAAAAGTTAACCTGGCATTTCTAAGTACCACCAATATATCTTTTGCCATAAACTCCCACCCGGTAATTACTGCTATTATAAAACCCGAAATATAAAATAAAAGTACAATGCTAGGAAGGTGCTCATCTTCTGTTCTCCTGCCAGAACTCTTGCCTTAATTATTTTTGCCTACCTAACAGTTTCACACATGCCTCCCCCTCCTCTTATGGCACCTGGCCATACTACAACAAAGGTCCCCTCTGCAGTGTGTTGTAGATTTAAGGGCCCTTCCCCAGCTATAGTTATGAGTATGACTTGCTCGGTTGGAATGTGGTTTGAGGACGTATGGAAAATTTATGCTCATGATTCCATACAGAGAGGAGTTCCATGTGTGTATTTTCTGACTGCTGGGATAAAGATGTTTTAGACGTAGGTTTGAAAAAAGCTAGATGATCATGTGGGAGGCATATGTTTGCAAATACATTTGTCAGGGAAGTGGATGTTGCTGTGGTGCCCATTCAGTGTGAAAAGATTTGTAATGCCACATATTGGGCAGGGGTGGGTTCTAATTTTTTTTACTATCGGTTCTGTGGGCGTGGCTTATTTTGTGGGTGTGGCTTGATGGTCATGTGACAATTCTTTAGGATTTAGCAGAGGTACTGGTCTATCAGGCTTTTAACTGCTTGCAGACCTGTACCGGTCTACCCATTTATTTTTGCAGGCACTGGTCTACCCATTTATTTTTGCAGGCACCAGTCTACTCATGTATTTTTGCAGGCACCGGTCTACCACTAAATTGCCTTTTACCACTGATCAGCTGTAGGGCAGCCCTTTGAAGCTCCACGACAAGAGTTTAAATAGTTTTTCCTTATAGCCCATCAGCTGGGACTCAGGAGGCAGCAATAGATTGGGGGTGGGGCCAAATAAAAGGTAAGAATAGGGCCGGGGGGGGGCAGAACCAGTTCAGTGACACCATATCGTCACTGCTACCGGCTCGGCGGAACTGGGCGGAACCGGGAAGAACCCACCACTGATATTGGGGAACAGTGAGAAACTAGGCAAAAAGAGAAACCACAAGCTTATCCACCACGTGCCACAAATAAACTCATATACTTTGCAGAAGGCTAAATGGAAAGTTGGACAAATTGGCACATTAAGAGTAAAATGCCTATAGAACAAAAGAATCTTCTTGTAAATTCAGATTAATTTATAAGAGAAAATAAACACCCAGCACGCAGTTCACATTAATCCAGCCTACAGGTAAATTCCTCTTGATTCCAAATGAGCTAGGGCTGGTTGACACAAGCACATGAACTATTGGATTTCATAATACCTTTTATGATTTCAATCTGAAGTGACTACCACAGCAATTCATTGTGTTTGAAGCCATTTCTGAGCTCTTGGTCTTAAAGCTGTAATTGCCTGATCACGTATGCAAGCCGCAGCTTTATATGTACTTGAAAATCAATGTACATGCCTTAGGTAAAGGTAAAGGTTCCCCTCGCACATATGTGCTAGTTGTTCCCGACTCTAGGGGGTGGTGCTCATCTCCGTTACAAAGCTGAAGAGCCAGCGCTGTCCAAAGACATCTCCGTGGTCATGTGACCAGCATGACTAAACGCCAAAGGCGCACAGAATGCAATTACCTTCCCACCAAAGGTGGTCCCTATTTTTCTACTTGCATTTTTTTTACGCGCTTTCGAACTGCTAGGTTGGCAGAAGCTGGGACAAGTAACGGGAGCTCACCCCGTTACACGGCACTAGGGATTCAAACCGCTGAACTGCCGACCTTTCGATCGACAAGCTCAGCGTCTTAGCCACTGAGCCACCGTGCCTTACATGTCTTAGATTCTGGCAAAATATCCCATCCACTGGGCTGCTGAAAGTAGAAATTTGGCCACAAGGGCAATGCTATGTTGTCGTGATTGCTCCCTTAATTTGAAAACCCGTGAAACTGAACAAATTATTACAATAAGGAAAATCCAAAATACTGTGTTAAAGATAGCAATAGCACTTAGACTTATATACTACTTCACAGTGCTTTACATCCCTCTCTAAGGGGTTTACAGAGTCAGCATATTGCCACTAACAATCTGGGTCCTCATTTTACCGACCCCAGAAGAATGGAAGGCTGAGTCAACCTTGAGTTGGTCAGAATCAAACTCGAGGTTGTGGATAGAGTTAGCTGCAACACTGCATTTAACCATTGTGCCACCACAGCTCTCATATCAGGGAATCCCCAGAGAGATTCAGTATTGCATCTCCATCATGTATTGACTATACGCAGCAAATAATCTACTTTTGAATTTGTAAACAGAATAGAATATTTGCTCATTGAAAATATAACTTTGATATGCTTTTTAATATTTTTGCCATACACTAAGTAAAAATGAAATAAACTGGCCTAGAAGTTGGAGAAGCAACACAGCAGCACAGATCTTCTCAGACCATAAAGGCAGTCGGCAGAATTAGCCAGCAATACTGCATTCTAACTACTACGGCACCACAATAGTTAGATAGCTCATTATCCTCATTCAAGATAGTGTTTCCAGCTGTACACTGAGGAACAACCAGCCCTATTCTTTTAAAGTCCCAATTCATCCCATGCATCTGCCCAGTCTGAAAGAAACTTTGGCAACTCCTGCAATATTAATGGTGATGTGAAAAAGAAACTCTCCCAACTGCTTCTTCTACAAAGGTCTCTTAGTTGCATGTTGATAACTTCAAATCTGGAGCACTTGAAAAGCACTTGAAATTCTTCAGGTACGCATTTATGTTAGATTAGATAAGACATATCCAGCCTATTCTCTGCTTGCAACCGTCCAGGAAGTAAAGCTACACGAGAGCCAAGAACATAATTTTGAATCTTACTCTTGTGGTCAGTCAGCAAACTTGTGTTCTTGCCCTCCTGGTTTTTCCAAATCCATATATAAGCAATTGGGCAAAGTGAAGTGTATTGACACAGATGGTAGGGAAGCAGAATCATAACTTTAAAAGTTAAATGGGGAATATCATTGTCTGGTGCTTAGAAGCTCCCCCCTCCTATCTACTCTGCTTAATTAGCCTTGGAGGTTTTTAGTAATATTCTAAAAATCTGTTGAATTAAAATGACAGAGAAAGAAAGACCACACACAAGCAATGGGAAAAAGTGAATATATAAACGAAGGCCAATAATACATCTGTTTTCAAGCGATCGTCAGTTCTCGTAGCTGCACTGACTGCGTTTACCCTTACATTCCTGCTGTTTCCTTGTTTCCAAGTAAAAGATAGCGGTTCCCCTTTAAAGTACCCTCAGCAGAATAAAGCAAGCTATTTTGTACCAAAGCTGAACCTTGGACTGCCTGGCTCAGAATTATCCATGTGCTTATGGGAGCTCTTCAGGGTTTTAGACAGGAGACCTAGATGAGATGTTAAGGGCTGATTCACTAAGTTATGCCTCTCCCATTGAGGCAACATCTTCTCTCATAGTTCCACCTATGAACTGTCCTCATGTCCCTCACCCCAGCATTTTCCTCATAGCAAAAATATAAACTCAGCCTAAGAAACCAAAGAATATTCCTTGCCTCTGTTTTAGCTTTCCTTTTGTATCTTTCTGTTATACTTTAGCCTAGAAGCCAAACCAGTGTCTGTCTCTCCCTGGAGATTATCTTCTATGGGAAGGGATAAAGGGAAGTATTAAAGCAGGGGAACAAATTCTAGGCATATCACGATGACATGTATTTTGATAGTTTGTACATAGTATATATGTGTGCGAATATTTTTTACCTATGTCTTTTTCTCTGTCTCTCTCACTCTCTTTTTTAGAGGAGAAAAAAAGCACCAATAAAAGGTTAATAAAACATATTTCCTCAGGAAAAAAATGAAAGCAAAGCTAAATTGTTCATTTATTTAAATATAGCAAGCCATTTAAGACAATGAGGGTCATCAGCTAAGCCTTCATTTTGGTAAATGGCTTTTTTGGTCCCCAAACTTTTCACTTTTCTCTAAGGCCATGGAAGAGAACTACCAATCCACAGGCAATTTTCATCATAATTTCAATGGAAGGAAACAAGCCAAAAATACAATGGGAAGAAAAGGGATAACCTAATGCTAGCACTTGTCAGACAAATTATTGCAGTCTTTTCTGGGGAAAGGTATAGAAGTGTTTTGTCATTGCTTTCTTCCAGAATGGTCTTTTGATTTTCCAATCTAGCTTTCAGCGGTAGTACTTTCTCATGAGTTTCCATCCAAATAGTAACCTGATCTAAACCTGCTTAGCACAATGCCCAAGAACAGCTTAAGGAAGCTGCTGATGAGAGACATCTTTAAAACTTCTGAGAAAAATGTGAAAAAAACCTGCCCAATTTCCCCCTTGCCCAAATGGTGTATTTATTAAGATGTAGGCAGTTGGTCATGCTTCCTAATGAGCTTGTACAACTGAATTATGATAAAGAAGATTTACATGTAAATCTGAAAACATCTAAGAGGTCAAATCAGCCTTTTCAGAGCCATATGTGAAACCGTCAGATAAAAAAAGAAAGAAACCTTTCCCCTTAAGACCAACAATTTCTCATTTCATTAATTTAGATCAATCTTTCCCAACCTTCGCTGGCTGGGGAATTCAGAGATTTGAACTCCCCATATCTTAAAATTGCCAAGGCTAAAAAACACTGGTGTAAATCATGGAACTCCTGTGATGATTTTTTTTGAGCTTGGTTCTAACACAAGCCAGATTTTTCAAGATTCATTGTCTGAGATGGAGAGATACAATGATTTGAGAAAACTAAAGAAGGTTATGCATGAGATTCAGGTTGACAAGGAATGGGAATATGCTTGTTTTATTATTTTTCCCCCTTTTTTCCGCTCAATTGTGTTCGATTCTTGAGGATAAATTGATGGTAAGTAAAGGTAAAGGTTCCCCTCGCACATATGTGCTAGTCGTTCCCGACTCTAGGGGGCGGTGCTCATCTCCATTACAAAGCCGAAGAGCCAATGCTGTCCGAAGACATCTCAGTGGTCATGTGGCTGGCATGACTAAATGCCAAAGGCGCACGGAACACTGTTACCTCCCCACTAAAGGTGGTCCCTATTTTTCTACTTGCATTTTTTATGTGCTTTTGAACTGCTAGGTTGGCAGAAGCTGGGACAAGTAACGGGAGCTCACCTCGTTACGCGTCTTAGCCACTGAGCCACCGCACTCCCTAAATTAACAGCTAAACGGCTGGCAAGAATTAAACCGTTTTTTATGAAGAGATGGAGAAAGGCTTCTTCTTGTTTGTACATTCATAAAATTGTTAAGGGCATGAAAAAATAACAGCGAATTTTTCCTAATTCATCCCAATATACATCTAAAAAATAAATGAGATCCCTAAAAGGCCAAGTTCAGGCAAAAGCAATACAGAAGAAATGGAACATCTGGCAATATTTTTATTACTGAACACTTTCCTTGGTCAATCACAAATCTCACTGAGAAATAGGTCACGTGGGGTGAGCCAGAGAATTCATAATATTTATTTCTTTTCAAACCATCATTTTGTAAAAGAACTGGGGTTTTCTTAATAGTCAAACATTACCTTTGATGATTCCTAGGTTATTTGGTAAGAAACAATAGCAATTTGAATGGAAGTTTCAATTTTATTTTGGTGGAAACTCGTGTGCTCTAATAATGATTTAGAAGGCATCTCCTTAGAAAGATTTTGACTGTGGTAGCAGACGTTCATGGGAGTTGTAGTCCAATACATCTGATGGGCAGTTGGGGAAAGTAATCCTGAAGAATTAGGGTTTCAAGAGTACAGAGGCTATTTGGCACCGTGACATCAGACAGGAGACTAAACCTAGGGGATTCGGCTGGCTGGCAGTTCATCTAATGAAAGTCTGTCTCCTCCAGCACAGAATGCCAATAATTAATGGAATAAAGGTTCCATTTTATAGATTTGTTTGGATTGAAATCTGCATCTAAACAGGTCTTGTTCACTGTTTAAAGCCAAAGTGCTTTCAGTCATATAATTTCTCTTTTAGGTTCTCACCAGGTGTTTACTGGGTATGAATATGACATGTTTTTGCTAAGGTATACCAGCTAAAAGATTTGATCAACTAAAAAAAAAACAAATCTTGAAGAAGTAGGATGAAGAGATCCATCTTTCCTAATAAAATACCTTTTCCGAAGATGATGGTAAGCTACGCTGCTGTGATTGGTGCAGAGAGTTTCACAGCATCCATGCTTGCTTCAGAAACAGATTGTGATCCCCTATGTCTTGAGAATAAAGCAATCCATATTCAAAAAAAAAAAAAGTATCAACAAAGTCATTCAGCACCTGTCCCAAAGATGCTAGCAAATTCAGTAAGAAGCAACTCGACCACCTGATTCTGGTACACCATGTCCTCTATCAGGCTGGCTACATCTCGCTCATGTCGCAACAGCGTTGGCCCAAAAACAATTCCAATGTTCTGAGTGGTCATCCGGTTGATACCTGAGTGATCCATCACCCTGAATGAAGAGGGGGAAAAAAATCCAGAAATGAGAACATCATATACTATTTTGGTCCCGTTTGATGCATCCATTGCTAAAGCAGACAGGCAGATTTAATTGAGATTTCATTACTAAAACAAAACATGCTGAAAATCACATTCATTGACCTGTAATCCATTTGTCTAAATAACCAATCAAAGACACAATCAGTCAGGGCAGCAAGTCATAGGAGAAAGAGAAGACAAAGTGTATGGAATTGCTTCTTCCACAAAGCAACTTTTGGATATCCTGTAATTTCCATTTCCATATTCCCAAAGTTAGCTCCAGGATCAAATTTACAGCCAGCTGCTCAACCATCCATGTAAGGAAATGGTTTCCATTTAAATTCCCTTTCAGAAGGCAAAATATGAGGGTCTAGACCTCACCTGATGCACCACTTCATTTTTAGGAGATGTTACCCAAATATTCAACTCAGCTTTCCTACCAGATTCTCAGATTCTCATGATTCTGTATGAAGTTAGGGAATCCATTGCAACTGAGGTTAGGAGGAGATGGGACTGCCTGGAACAGTATCTGTAAACGGGGCCCAAGATAAGTGGCACTATGTAAAGCCTACAGGTCTTTCAAGAACAATAGGATGGGATGGGATGGGATGGGATGGGATGGGATGGGATGGGATGGGATGGGATGGGATGGGATGGAATGGAATGGAATGGAATGGAATAGAATAGAATAGAATAGAATAGAATAGAATAGAATAGAATAGAATAGAATAGAATAGAATAGAATAGGAGTTGGAAGGGACCTTGCAGGTCTTCTAGTCCAAGCCCCTGTTTAGGCAGGAAACCCTACACTACTTCAGACAAATGGTTATCCAATCTCTTCTTTAAAACTTCCAGTGTTGGAGTATTTACAATTTCTGGAGGCAAGTTGTTCCACTGATTAATCCTTCTGTCAGGGAAATTTCTCCTTAGTTCTAGGTTGCTTCTCTCCTTGATTAGTTTCCACCCATTGCTTCTTGTTCTACCCTCAGGTGCTTTGGAGAATAGTTTGACTCCCTCTTCTTTGTGGCAACCCCTGAGATATTGGAACACTGCTATCATGTCTTTTCATCAAACTAGACATACCTAATTCCAGCAACCGTTCTTTATATGTTTTCAGCTGCCAATGAGGTACACATTGCAACAGCAAAACCACTGATATTGATAGTGCTCAGCCATAGAATATCACTATTGAACTGAGAGTGTGCTCAGCTATAGAATAGTCCAATAGTGCTGTACAGGTGGTCCTTGACTTACGACCACAACTGAGCCCAAATTTTATGTAGTTAAGCAAGAAAGATGTTAAGTAAGCTTTGCCTCATTTAACAACTGTTCTTGCCACTGCAGTTGTTAAATCAGTAAGTGAATTGTTAAGTGAATCAGGCTTTCCCATTGACTTTGCTTGTCAAAAAGTCACAAAAGGTGGTCATGTGATCCCAGGACACTGCAATTATGAGCCAGTTGCCAAACGGCTGAATTTTGATCACCTGACCATGGCGATGCTACAATAGTTGTAAGTGTGAAAATCAGTCATAACTCACTTTTTCAGTGTCATTGTAACTTTGAACAGTCACTAAATGAATGGTTCTAAGTCAAGGACTATCTGTACATCAGATGCAGGAAAGTTCATAAGTGTGAATAAACAAATTTTCTTTTAAAATGCTGATCCCAGGCTGAATTTTCAATTTTAGCTTCCAGTGGTAAAATATGCATAATAAAATGTAATTGCAAGGGTAGTCTACTTTTAATTAATATATTCTTTTTATTGCTTCTTGTTCAAGGATACAAGTGATTAATTGCTCTTCAATTCATCAGCTTTGCTTCCTACCTTTGAAAGAGAAGTTAAAATATTAGTTTCCTTTTGCTATCTTTTTTCTTACTAGTGATTTTGTTTGCTTTGCTATAAAAAAAAAGAGGCCTTAATTCAGTTAGTCCTCGACTTACAACAGTTACTGTTTAAGTGTTTACTGTTGTAAACACTTACTGTTTACTGTTGTAATTTACTGTTGTAAATTAGTAAATTACTGTTACTAATTTAACAACTGCAGTGATTCCCTTAAACAGCTGTGTCACAAAAGGTCGTAAAATGGGGCTAGATTCACTTAACAACTGAAATTTTGGGCTCAATTGTGGTCATAAGTCGAGGACTACCTGTAACAAAAACCTGATTCTGCCAGGAAGAAAGTATTAATGGGCAAATTCGAGGTGACTATTTACTTGCGGAGGTGCTGAAGTAAGTAATGCAGTGTGTCCCGGTTTGGTTGAGGGAGAGTCTGGATCAGCCCAGCAATCTTTGACACTTTTTCCTTGTGATCAGACAACTCTGTGCAGAGAAAAGCAAAAAGATTTTTATTTTCAGCTGAGAAGGCAACGTTTAGAATGAAAGACATTGTAGCTTCCAAAGGGCAGGTCGGTGTTGCTATCAGAGTTACAACCAAAGCACATTTTGGAGAAGAAAATAAATTGTAATTGGGATGATAGGTGTCAAGGCTCCAACTAATGAACCCAAGCAAATCCTCCTAAAATCCTCCTCAAAGAACTTCTTTATTGAATACATCATAGCGGCACAGCTCTAAAGGAAAACCAACTCTAAATCTTTCCCATGGTTTCAGTATAATTAAAATAGGAGATAACCCCATCCCCAAATGTCACAGGTCATGTTGGCCAATTGGATTAATTGGCAAGCTCCCCAGGCACTCCTTCCCCGACCTTATCCGTTGCCAGTAGAGAGGACCTTGGTTCTCACAAGAAACTCTCTGTTGTGTCTAGTAAAGCATTCCAAGCTCCTTCCCTGCTTCCCCCCTCTGTGTGGCAACTGAGGAACAGAACATGGCAGCAGCCAGAAAAATGGCTGCTGCCAGGTTCGGTTTGAAGTTGACAATAGGATTGTTGATTTACAATAGTCTTACCACACCACCTTAACCATAAAAAAGATGGGCTTGAGGTCAATGGCTCAAACAAATAAAGAATTCTTATGAGTGATAAGGAATAAGTAGAGAAAACTCTTTCACGCCCTATCGTGACAGGATGCATGACTACAGAAGCTAAGGGAACACAATAATATCAACTCATTCTTTTTCAACTATCCGAAACACAGCAAGATGGATGCCTGTTCAGTCATACCCTTATCACTCCTCCTCTGCTTTATATTTATGAAAAAAACCAACTTCAAATGTTTCACGTGTCTGTGCCTGTGTACAAGCACTGACACTCATTAATTCATTCATATTTAGAAACTACCCATCCCCCTCCCTCTGGCAGTGTACAAATAATGTATACATATATAACATGTGTACCTATGTATGCAAATAATATATGCAATGTAATGACTACGTGTCAATGTAGGGACCAAAACACACAGAACGCAATATAACTTTCAAAAACCAAAACCGTCTTCAGATCCACTACCGTAGAAAGCCAGTTTCAGAGCTGGCATGTGTGTATCTGCATCGATGATGTCTCAAATGGTAACCAATGAGAGCTTTAATTGAATTTGACTAAAAGTTACAGGAATAGAATTTGAAAAAATGATGCAGGTCACGAAAAAAGGGTATTTTTCATATTGATCATTAGGATTTTAAGATTCTCCAGCTCCTCTAGCAACCTGATATTTGGGCACAACTTAAAATAAGGCAGTAATTTTAGATCCTCTGCATTCAATGATCTATTACTGTGATGGTGAACCTATGGCACGCATGCCACAGGTGGCACCAATATGGCACGTGGCCATATCGGTGGGCATGCAAGCTCAGCTCCAGTGGGCATGTGTGCGCTGGCCAGCTGATTTTTGGGCCTTCTGGGCCCATCAGAAGTAGGGAAACAGACTGTTTCCTGCCACCGGAGGGCCTGGGGAGGTGAGGAAGGTCCGTTTTTTGCTCTCCCCAGGCTCCAGAGCCTTTCTAGGAGCTTGGGGAGTGAAAACGGTCTTCCACACACCCCAGAGGCCCTCCGGAGGCCAGAAACGGCTCATTTGCCAACTTCTGGTGGGATGCATAGAATTATGGGTGTGGGCACGCATGCCCCCCCCCCCCACACACACCGTTCTCCCCACTTTTGGCATGTGATGGCAAAAAGGTTAGCTATCACTGATCTATTATGTTCCTGAAGCAAAAAATTTAAGATACCTGTAGATAATCCGAAGTACATCTCAGATTGGAGAATTGGTATTAGGAAAGGCTGAGATGTCTCCCCCCACCCCCCTTCCCGATGGGAAAACCAAGATAGACAATTTCATTTTATATAGCACTTTTTCTAAAAATGAGTTGCAATATTACAGAAAAGTCCCAGGTTTTTAATCCAGGCTCAGAATTAACCTCTGCTGGTTTATTGATAAATTTGCATTTATCAATAGGGCAAGGAATAGGAAGCAGACTTACTGACAGAAGCTATGCATTCACCAACGTGACTGTAGGGCACTAGGGATTCAGGTAACTCTCGGAAGAAAAGCTTCAGGGCCCCTGTTATCACATGCACATCATCCCACTGTGGACTGGCCAGGTTCAACTTCTCCTCTAGGGAACAAGGAAGAAAAAGACAAAAAGGGCATATCAATGGGACCTTTTTCAATGTCACATCTTTCTGCTTTGTTGGTAGAGAGAGAGAGTCACCAAATATATTAAGGGGCTGAGATATAAACCCTCATCAATCAGAATGGGACAACTCGCCGTGGCCAATTCATCATAGGACAAGTTACCATGGCCAATTTGCCATGAGATAATTTGCCATGGGGCAATTTAACAATTCAATTTAATTATTTTAAATAACTAAAATTTTATTTTAATTTTTGTCCTTCACATTTCATTTTGTCCCCGTCTTTGCATTCCTTCTTTAATAATTCTATTCCACCATTTCTTTGATATTAGTGTAATTCTTGTCCTGCAGCCAGTTGGTTGATGTCAAGTTGTCTCGTGGCAAGTTGGCAGGCGTGAACTGATGCTGGCAAGTTGGCTGTGGTGAATTATCATACCTTGGCAACTTTAAGACTTGTGGACTTCAACCCCCAGCTTTGCTGGCTGAGGAACTCTGGGAGTTGAAGTCCAGAAGTCTTAAAGTTGCCACGGTTGGAGACCCCTGCTCTAGCTGATACAGCTCATGTCCCTTTTCCTGGGGCAGCTGAAAGAAACTGCAGAGACTGGGGAAGAAGGGGAAAAGGCATTTGGTAAACCCAGATTTGGCACTCTCTCTCTCTCTCTCTCTCTCTCTCTCTCTCTCTCTCTCTCCCTCCCTCCCTCCCTCCCTCCCTCTCTCTCTCTCTCTCCTCCCTCTCTCTCTCTCCCTCCTTCCCTCTCTCTCCCTCTCCCTCTCTTTCTCTCTCCCTCCCCCCTCTCTCTCCCTCACTCCCTCCTTCCCTCTCTCTCTCCCTCCCTCCCCCTCATTTGTTTGGGTCTTTATCCTTAAAAGGAACAGAAACTCCAGTGGGAATTGTAGCAATTTTTTAAATTATTTCCTTTGAAGGAGACTTGTAAAAATTCAGAATTTGCACCCTACATTCAAAACCTAATCTGGTTTCATTAAAATCTCCTGCCTCTTCCATGACTTCTGGGTAACCAGGGTTGCTATTTCAATGATTGAGGGACAGAAACATTACCTTGGCAACGTTGCTCCGGGAAGACATAGCGCCCATCAGATGTCACTGCCCGTTCTGCAAAGCAGCACAATGGTTACTGAGGATGCCACAGGAAAAACAATATCTTGTAGCAAAGGGTGAAGACAGGTTTGGAGGTAGCCAGAATGTGTCAAAAATACATTCTGGATGAGTTTATGGAATGCTGAGACATAAGATGGCTTGTCTATTGTTTTTTTCCCCTGCAGTGTAAGAACCCAACCATTGTCACCTTGTCATTTGTTTTCTATCCTGCTTTCAGCTCTGGTAAACAGAAATTTCATCCATTTTTTTTTAAAGAGAGGTTTAAGATCTTCTGTGTTGTCTAGCAAACTTTATGTAGCTGTAGCAACTGGAATAGTTCTGAATACCTGCTCTCACTCAAGCAGAACTGGGATAAGTGGAGAATGCTGTAAATCAGGACCTCTCTGACATGGAAAATAATTACTTCCACGTTGGATCATAAAACCCAAAATTAGCTGACCTCATCAAAGGGCTAGGGATGAGAAGAGGACTATGCACGTGGTTATGTCCTTGAAGAATGGTTAGCAAGGCATCTTTGAGGTAAAATGAGGAAATCTTATTCCTCTAGTCAGCCTTGCCTTCATCTATAATTTTCATCATACATATATATGTATATCCAGTTGCAACCTCGGCATGCACAGCTGGAAAATAGCAGTCTCTGCTAAACCCTGCAAAAATCCAGCTGGTAACCGCTGCCAGGAGACCCTTCGGGGTCATAGCCGTCTTGTACGGATGGTGAAGGAAGGAGAGGCGCTTTGCTGACCACGAGGAATCCGCAAATTCCTCGTTAGGTCTGAAGCAAGCTCTCCCTGAACGGCAGCAGGCACGGCCGCCATTGCTGGCAGCCCCGAAGCCGGGACAATCGGGAACCAAGATTGTGCAGGAGCTGTGTATGGACAGAACATTGAAATTGGGTGAGATATTTACCAACTTTTATTTTAAGGACTTGCAATAACAAAAAGATTATGAAAAGAAAACTCCTAAGCTTAAAATAGCGGCAAATTGACACACACAGAGAGAGAGAAAGCCGGAAATGAAAAGGCGAGGGGGAAAAAAAAGCCAAAGAGAAGCTGTAAACCTATAGCTACAGCCCAAGAGAAGCTATAAAACACAGACAGCGTGGAAAAAGCCCAAATAATCTGAAAGCGACTTTAGGGAGAAATTATTTGTTTATTTGAATTTCTAAACCCCTTGGATTTAGATATGCCTCCTATAACTCCATGTTCACCATTTATCATTCTATGCCATACTCACCACGGTCAACTATGAATCTCAGCTTCTGAATAGTGGCCAAGTTCCCGTTGACCCTATAGATTCCATCTGCATCCAGCCCTGAAAGAGAAGGACAGAACTGCTGTGAATCCCCCACATAAATCTATGGAGTGCCAGAACTAGGAGAAAGATCCTAGCTGAGACAGAGATGGAGTGGTGACCCAGGGATACCCTACCTCTCTGTTCCACAGCTTCCACACATTGTTGAACAAACCGGGGTACTGTGCCCCCTTCTCGCTGGCACAGGGCTTCTAGCCGACAGCCAAAGACTTGATCTAGGAATAGAAATGGAAACGGTGAAGCAATTGAAGATACTTTGTTCTAAGAGGGCTACAATTATCTCTCTGCCAGGGAATAAATATAAAGGAGCAATTGGTACAATCCTAGCCCTATTTTTATAGAGCCTAAAGCACCACAAGATCATGGTGCTGAAGTTCAACAGTAAACCTGATTCCTGACTGTATCGATACACACATACCCATGGATTAAAATCAACTTCTTAAACCTTTCCTTGCTAGACCTATTTATTTTGTTTTAAACCCTATGGCCAAATAAAAATTGTAAAAAAAAATAAAAAAATCTATGCCACTTGTTTCCCTCAGCCACAAAAAAATTCATAGCCCCTCAGAATTTTTAAACTCAGATTTGTGACTTTTAGCAATAGTGATTTGATCCAGGAACACTAGAAACAAGAAAAAACTTAAATTTGTCTTGAGATCTGGATGAACCTGACTCTGCTGATGTTTCAAAGGGTTTTGAAGATCTGGGTCCTCACTAGGCCTTTGGTAAGGGTAAATTAACTCCTCTTGAATAGCTTGAAATCATTTTTCTTTCATTCCTGACCGGTTTTTATCATCTTTGTCCTTTTTATTCTTTTATTTTGACTCTTATTATATTCTAGTTCTTGTTTTTACTTGAAACAAATACCCAGAGCCATTGAGAGTTGGGCAGCATGCAAATTAAATGAATAAATAAATATCTAAGGATAAGGCCAATGTTTTCCCACATCAAGCTGTGAGGAAGGCCAGTCTAGCGGGGTGGGGGGACTTCTGTGGCTCAGGATGGGTAACAGGCAGGTTTTCCTCATTTTTGGTGCAACACTTTCAGCCTTCTATCCTTCTGAGGTCGGTAAAATGAAGACCCAGATTGTTGGGGGGCAGGGGCAATATGCTGACGCTGTAAACCTCTTGGAGAGGGCTGTAAAATACTGTGAAGCGGTATATAAGCCTAAGTGCTATTGGTATTAAACCACACTAACTTTAAAAATAAATTAAGATTTTTGTTGTGCTGCTAGATATATAGGGAGGTAAAAAGAGTCTGGTGATAATTTTTCAATAAAGGTGGCAAATGTATTAGTTGTCATAGTGCTCATTCCTGTGTGTTCAGAAAAATCTCTCACATATTCATTCATTCATTCATTCATTCATTCATTCATTCATTCATTCATTCATTTATGGGTCATAGCAATGCTGAATTTCTGTACATTTGAAAATCCATCATCTCTACCCAGCCTCCATTGCAATGAAACTATAGGAATCTGCATCATTACCTCGGATCAGTCCTTTCTCCTGTAAACTTCGCAGGGGTGGCCTCTTGGCGATGAAGCGTCTCAGCTTGCTTTTGACTCTTTTCTTGTAGACTCTGCCAGGACTCCCGGGGGCTAGAGGAGGAAGGACCAGAAGCCAAGAGAAGAAGTTAAGGCAGCCGCCATGCCCTCATCCGCACATAGGACACAATAGCCCTACTTTCGACAGCTTTTAGCACTCTCCCCACCCCACCCCATCCCAGATCTGCTGGTCTCAAACCTGCTTGCACTTCACCCTTGGAGACCCCAAGTTCCTCTTCATCATCCCAGCTCAAATCCACAAGCTCAGCACTGTTTGACCGATAGAGTGGGTACAGAAGCGGCTCATCCAGAGGGTTCTCTTGATCCTGCAGTGGAGCAAGGAAGGAGCTTAATCCAGAGAAATGAGCAGCCAGATAGGATGGGGCAAAGTGGGCAAATGCGCTGCCATCAACTACAAAAGGGTTCTGTTTCAAAGATCTACAAACTTGGATTGATACACTTAGGATTTCATATTGACTTGACACTGTGATAAACCCATGGTAGGAGAGTGTCAACTTCGAAACAACTACGGCCAATGCCATATTTACTTTGCTTTGTTTCTTAGTTGCCACTCTCTGGGGGAATGGGGGGGAGTTAGAAAGGACTGGAATGCGGTGCCTGAATCCACTAGACAAAACATCCACCAGACTGCAGCTTGTGACCCAAGGCCATGGCAACAAATATCATCTGAGACCGAGGGGGAAGGATCCCGCTGGACTGATTGGTTAACGTGACCTAGGACACCCGAGGGAGTGGGAAGTTTCTAGAATTACCCAGAGCCACCTTCAACTTTCTAAGTGCCAATACGATGTACTCAATAAAAGGAGTTTCTGAGTCCCGATTCAATTGGCTTCATTGCTCGGAACCATGAAAGACAGAGGGGGGGTGGGGAAGCGAGAGAGTAAGAGAGAAAGAGTATGAGAGATAGAATGAGAGAGAGAACTAGAGAGAAAAGAGAGAATGAGAGAAAATGAAAGAGAGAGAGAACGAGAGAGAGAGAGAGATAAGTCCATTGGGGTCATTGGGTGGTACACATGAAGAAGTACAAGCTCAGTAAAGGGCAAACCATGCACAGAGTCCTTTTTGTGGTCTGTCCTTCATTGATTTTGTAGTTCTTCATGTGTACCACCAAAGAACCCCAAAGGACTTCTCTCCCTCTTCTGCCATGGCTCTATCACAGTGACACATCAGTACAAAATCCTAAATGTATCAGTCCAATTATGTGTGATAGGATGGAAGCCTTAAGGAAGAATGAATGCTTCCTCTTCAACATTAGCCCCACTTTTTCCAGGAGAGTCCCACACCCAAGTCAATGAGAGTCCACCCCTGATCAACAGCTCCAGATAAATATGGAAATAGGGGGGAGAGAAAGGACTGTGCTCAGCATTGAGCACCATTCCACTCATTTTGAGCCCTCATCAAAATCAGTTCAATACTTTAACAAGATCAGAAAGGAGGAAGATAGTGAGTGACTGACTGACAAAGAATGATTGTTGCACATATACCTTAATGTGCATGAGGGAGAAATGGAGAGTGGAATGCCTTTGGCTCCACTTACATTAGAATTTATTTATTTATTTATTTATTATGCCCACTCACACCCCAACAGATTTTGCTTTCTGAAGCAGTAGGTTCTCACTGCAGACATAATGAGTTCAATCATATTGTAAACCTGAAACAAAGACCTTCTGTCTTCCTTGAGGGTAGTCCTAAACTTTGTAGAGGAAGGGTTGGCAGTTCAAAGAAGAAAGGAAAAGACTGAGATAACTTGAAGTTCTTGGTATCGTTCACTCACTAGTCTCTGGATGACCCCTTTGATTGCCTGATACCAGTCCTGGCTGACAGCTTCATTATCTGATTGCAAGAGATACTCGTTGCCAGTCACTGTGCGAAACTAAGAAGTGAAAAGAACAAATTGGATTATGCAACAATTCCACTTAACATAATCTCACGCTCTTCTAATAGATCCTCACCACTTAAGACATAGCAGGAATCCTAATTTAATTTTAAACGGTAACGACAACAGATTCATGTAATCCCTTGTTCCTGCTATGTTCCTCTACTTGTGGGGAGGTGAACAAACTAGGAAAGTATAGCTTACAAGTGAACCTGAAATTATAGTGAAGTACAGCCAGAGAAACCAGAGTATATTAATTATCTTGATTTAAAACAGGACCACTGTGAATCAATTCTGAAGAATTGATAAGCTTACAGTAGGACAAACAAGATTAGTCCCCGTTGTGTAAAATCTTGTTACAAATATCTCAGATCAAGATGGGCTGCATTCCCACACTTACATGGAAGACATTCCGCTTGCTGGACAAATCCCGAGCCCACTCAATACGAGCCCCACGCAAATCCACACTGCTTTCAGGCCGGCTACCAGATGGAGTCTGCAGGGGGGAATGGACAAGGGTTAGGCGGTTCTCTATACCCAAGTGCCAAACGATCTGTGCCTGAAGTCACTGGGAAGGGATGAGGAAAATAGGTACTAATTCATGTTTACTTCCTTATTGATTTATCACAGCAACAGAGACTTTTGTGTTGGTGGATGGATGGATGGATGGATGGATGGATGGATGGATGGATGGATGGATGAATGGATGCAGAGGTGGGCTGCTGCTGGTTCTGACAGGTTTGGGCGAACTGGTAGTTCCGACCAACGGCTGGGCCTGCTCGCCCACCTTGGCACTATCCCGTCCTATATAATCGCCATGTGTTTAATGCCGCATGCATGCGCGGAAGTTGCACGTGTGAGTGAAGCAAGCGTGCACACGCGCACACTCACATTTTTGGTTCTGGGCGAACCAGTTGTTACATTATGTGATGCCCACCTATGGATGGATGGATGGATGGGTGGGTGGGTGGGTGGATGATAGATAGATGATAGAGATAGAAAGATAGATAGATAGATAGATAGATAGATAGATAGATAGATAGATAGATAGATAGATAGATAGATAGATAGATAGATAGATAGATAGATGGATGGGTGGATGGATGTGTCACTGTGTTTTTGTATTTACCAGATGAGCTCATATTTTTGGACTTTAAGACTTTCCGTAGCTTGCTTATCTCTGATCCACTACGCATGTCCGCATTCCTTTTCTTTCTTTATTCTCCTGCCAAGAGGTCCGGCTGCAAGAGAGGTGGCCGGCAGGAACGTTGCCAAAATGTAATTATTTAGATAGTGAGATGTTTTATTTTCTTTATAACAAATAAATGAGTTTTTCTTAGAAAAAAATATCTTCGGGGTTTATTTTCTTGCAAAAGTATGCTTCAAGGGAAAGGTCACGATCCACGTCTCTAAATCAAGGTCCGATTACCCAAAAGCAGAATGGGATTAATTAGCACCCTGACAGGATGGATGGATGGATGGATGGGTGGATGGATGGATGGATGGATGGATGGATGGATGGATGGATGGATAGATAGATAGATAGATAGATAGATAGATAGATAGATAGATAGATAGATAGATAGGAGATGGAGGGGGAAGGGGAGAGAATAGAGAAAGAGAAACATACAGTACATGGACACTGTATACATACATACATGGACACACATCATCCCTGAAAAATACTGAGTGGGCATATCTAAAGACTATACCAGACGTTACTGTATGCCATGAAATTTCAATTTAACGTATGCCAATTAGTGTACATTCGAAGTGACAATAAAGTTATTCTAAGTTCTACCAGATCCCTAAATGGGCAAAATAGCCCCTTTTATTCAAAAGTCTCTCCCTCTTCCTCCCAGCCAACAATTTCTCATAGGGGGCACGTATGACTTTTCCAAGAGATTGAACTGACTTCTTCCAGAAAACTTTTAAAATTAGTGCGAGGGTTGTACAAAGTCAGACTGCCAACCATACAAGACCTTAGGCTGCCTTTCCTGATTTGCCATTTAAGCATCTGTCTCCTGCTGTACTCACCCATGCAGCGGTCACTTTGGGGTCCTTGTAGAACATGAGACTGTTCCCAGCTAATACCAGCCACGATGATGCCCAGCATTTTCTGGAGGTAGGGGAAAAGAAGAAAAACTGGAGCCCAGCCCACCAAAGCCATAAACAAAACATACAACCTCTCCTGGGGCTTCCAAGATTAAAAGTGTCAAAAAGTGAACAGTCAAGATCAATGCTCCCACATACAGGCATGTGGCACTGCAAGGATCTGTTTGTGCTTGGAATAACCTCTGCGGTTTCATAAATGACAGTGCTCTCAACATACCAGTGACCAAGTATTGGAGGAGACACCAAGGAAGAGCAATTTTGCTGATAGTTTCTGGCCTCAAAAACAATAACGTTTTCTGAATGTTCATATCGTAAATGAGAAATGCCACGCTGCCCCTTTCTTGCTGAACAATTGCTAATGAAATAATAGACTGGTGGAGACAAGGGACTATGAACTGGGGTTAAAACAGGAGTCCGTAGTATTGTCAGAGGGATGCTACCCATCCTTTCCATGACCTGTTTTCCTTGTTCTCAGCTGGGAGAAGGCTTCGTAGTATCGGAAACAGAACATCTAGATTCAGTCATAGTTTTGTTCCAAATAGTATCAACCTTGTGAACTCTCAAGTTTCCTCTTTTCTGCTACATATTCAAAATGACAAATGATACACGAAAGAGAAAGAGATGGCCTCCCTTATATAGACAGCTTCTTAAAGTGGCAATAACCCTGCTGACTCATCCTCAGTCTTAAAGGGGCAATAACCCTGCTGACTCAACCTGGTCCACATCCTTACAATGGCTAGTCAGCTTTAAATCTGCATTACACTGACACAAAGGTTGTCTTATCTTGTCTTAGGAGACATCCTGTTGACTATCTTCCTTCAAGGTCTTCTTTTGAGAGGAGAATACCCTGAGCTCAGACTTATTCTGAATTTGCTTTCATTAGCACAGAGCTGAGTGTTGGACCTGGGTCCAAGTTTGGTTCACGTCTGTACATACAGCCATCATTTGACAAGTCTAAGCGGTCATGTATCTTCTTCGACGTACTCCCATTTCCCTGGATTTGCTTCCCCTCCTCTCCCTTAGAAAAAGTTTCAGCTCTGCCTTATTTTGCCCTGCCCCACCCTTCAGATTTATGTCAATGACTGAGAAGGTCCATTATTCACTAAGGCCCCTTTCCAGCTTCTTTGTCTATTCAGGCCAGGACATTGCTTGTCAAAATCCCTTCAGCTGTGAAATGCTCCTCAGAGCTCCTCAGAGCTGGAGAAGTAGCAAAATGAGGACTGAAAAGCACAAATGCCCCAGATTCTTCCTATATGGACAATGAGGAAAGTATCCCTCCTCAATCCCCCTCCTGCCGGGGAGACTTTAACTGGGTACCTGAGTTTCCGACCTCCTTCAGCAATCTTGGTTTTGTTCAGCTGTCCACATTTCTCCACCATCTGCCAAAAGAAACAATGTCAACACACTTGCAGTCCTAGCTGTGTCCTGCAGATCCTTCCTGAAATCCATACCACTCCCCATTCTCCCACTTCTCTGCAGATCTTTATTTCCTATAAACTCTGCCTCCAGGTAAGGCTCCACTCCTAGCTTTCCTACTGGGTCAGTTGAGGGAGGAACTTCCCAATGTGGCTGAGCTGCAACCTGTAGCAGCTCCAAGCCACGCAGTCAATAATGAGGATGTGTAGTTTGATGACATCTGGAGGACCGTCAGGTTCCCAATGTGCAAGAAGCAAAACAATTTGGGGCAGTGAGATACAATCATTTTTCAAAGAAGATAGAGAAGAAACACACAGGTGCACACATGCTAAAAAGGACAGGTGGGAGATGGTAAAACCAAGAATAAAACAGATGTATCCTCTGAATGCACAAATCCTAGTCCCAGTTAGAGATTTCCTCCCCAACAATTCCATTTTCCATGCTAGCTTCTCTAGCTTGATTTTCTTTTACTTATTTCACTTTCCAGATCCTGCTACATTCTCTTCACCATCTCTTTTGCCCCTTTGGTCTCCAAATCACATTTTTCTCCCTGGGCAACATTCCCAACCTCAGCTGAACCAGATGAAGAAAAAAGGCAGCAGGACAGACCCACTCCAAAACTCAGAGGGTGGCCTTCTCCGGCATGGCACAGCTGGCCTCTGGGGCTAAGCAAGAGAGAATATCCTTTCAGATAATGGTGACTGAGGGTGCTGCCATGGGATGGAAAGGGGGATATTTATATACCATTCATCCCAGGAACGTGAGATAGTAGTGCAAATATCTTCACATCTATAAGTAGTCCTCAACGTACGACCACATTTGAGCCCAAAATTTTGGTTGCTAAGAGAAACATTTGTTAAATGAATTGGCCTCGTTTTACGACCTTTCTTGCCACAGTTGTTATTTGAATCACTGCAGATGTTAAGTTAGTAACACGGTTGTTAAGTGAATCTGACTTCCCCCATTGACTTTGCTTGTCGGAAGGCAGCAAAAAGTAAATATGTGACCCCAGCATACTGCAACCTTCATAAATAGGAGTCAGTTGCCAAGCGCCTGAATTTTAATCATGTGACCATGGAGATGCTGCAGTGGTCTTAAGTGTGAAAAACGGTGATAAGTCGCTTTTTTCAGTGCCATTGTAACTTTGAGCGGTCACTAAATGAATCGAGGACTACCTGTATTCCATAAGGCAGACTAAGCTGATGAGATGCAACTATAACCCGGGATGTCTCTGCCCCTAGTCAGATTGAGCCTAACCATTATACTCCTGTATAGTTGTAACATACATGCAGTAATTCAGCATTGTCTGTGATGGAGCCATTGGTAGGTGATGGCACAGAATATTCTCCTAACCAAGCATCGAAGCTATATTGGGAATGGTTCCGCCGATGGTTCCCCTGTACAGAGAAAAAGCAAGATTATTTATCAACCATTTTGGATATCCATTCCCTTCCTGCTATCAGCAGGGATTGCCAAAGCTGAACCTTAGGCCCAAATCCAGAATTTAAATGGTTGACCAAACTCAGTAGCAGATAGTGAGGTAGCTAATATACAGCACCTCAATATATTTTCTTTCTTCTTTTTAAAAACACTTTATTTATTTATTTATTTGTTTGTTTGTTTATTTCTTCAAGGTTTATTGGGTTTTTATTTTTAAACATATATCAACATCAATACATGAACAGTGTGGCCTCTGGATATGGTTCATATTAATACAAATAACAACAGTCAATTATTGCATTGATCAAACACATATAATCCTAATATTAATATACTTGGTTATTTTAAAGTAGTTATTCAATATTTCAGTCTTCCATTCTAAAAACACTTTATAAAGGGGGAAGTGGCCAAGTGGTGCATGCGTGATTACCAAACTGAGTTTGCTAATGTAATGAGCAGAAGGAATAACCTTGAGGAACAAGAGGAAGAGCCATAACCCACCCACAAAAAAAAAGGTAAGTGGAGGGCAGAAATGTAATGTGAGTATCACAGACAGGACCTTTCCCAGCTCTCACAAAAGTAAAAGTGGGAGGGAGAGAAAATATTCAGACTTGCAAGATTCTATTACTTTATATAAAACATTATAATAAAAGCAGTAGTGAGTTTCAAATCCCAGCGCTACCAGTTTGTTATTGGGAGCGCGCGAGGCGCTTCTGCGCATGCACAGAGCATTTTTGATGACATCTGGATGGGTGGGCGGAGCCTCCCATCGCTACCAGTTTGCCCGAATCAGGGCCAACCGGTTGCAACCCACCACTGAATAAAAGTAGTATTACATCCATAACTTTGGTTTTCTAATCTGATTTATCTGAAAGGACTGATAGATAATCAGTCAGTCAGTCCGTCCCTCCCTCTCTCCCTCCCTCCCTACTTTATTTTATTTATTTATTTATTTATTAGTCATATTTCTATGCCGCCCACTCTCTGAGGACCCTGGGCGGCTTACACCAAAGATAGTATACTAAATAGCATATTGCCCCCAACAATCAGGGTTTTATTTTATCCACCTCGGAAGGATGGAAGGCTGAATCAACCTTGAGCTGGTGAGATTTGATCCGCTGATCTGCTGAACTAGCAGTCAGCTGAAGTAGCTGCAGTACTGCACTCTAACCACTGCGCCACCTTGGCTCTTTCTCTCCATCCCACTCTTCTGCAGTACGCTAAGCTATTTAAAGTATAGGACTATTAACTCCAGTATTTAAAATTACACACCTACATGCACTAGTGACTGCTGTCCTGCCCTTTCCTTCACGTGCACCTCTGCTTTCAACCCAGTTGGATGTAGATTAACCCTTCCCTTCTGCACACCTTTTGAGCAAAGGCATCTGTTTTGTCCTCCAAAACCTGCCATCCCAGTAGATCCCCTCATGGCCGTGCCTTACCTTGTGAGGCCATGTCTCTGGCAACATCAAGGATCTGGTATGTCCCAGCTTTTTGTGGAGACTTTGAGCCCCAGGCTGCTCCCCGCTCACTCTATCTTCTGTTTGGTCCAGGTTGGCTCCTGGAGTAGGATCTGCTGGAGCTGAGAGATCATTTCCCTCTATTTGCACCAAGCTCTGGCAAAACAAAAACACAGAAAAGGGAAGAGGGAGAGGAGAAAGAGAGAGAGGACTTTCTATTACAAGAGCAGACATGAGCCCAACTATGGCTACCCTTCCTTATTCTGGCTCTCACCAGTTTGATCCACAGCCACCTATTTCTTTCAAATCTGAAATTTCTTTCAAATTCTTCAATCCCATTGGTGCTGACCCACAGCTGATGATATGGGCAGAGCCTTCAGGTGCATGGGGACGTGACAAGAGGATGTTGGGAAGGGGTATTGGAAGGGGTTTACTGTACAGACTAGCTGGCAACCACATGCCCTCTGTTCTGATGTAGCACACAATGATTTCTCATTATAGAAATTCCTCAGGCATCTGGCTGGTGGCCCAAAATGCAATTCTGGCTTAAACTACCAGAGAGCAATCAAACACTATAGAAAGCCTCCAGAAGAGATGTATTAGTGGCAGGTGTCTGTCAATAGCTGAGCCATCTCAGGGCTTGATTTACAGACTGGGAATATCCCCCACCCACCCCAGCAATAATCCTGTCAAGTCCACTCCAGAACATTCCCCCAAAGGTAGCAATGTTGAATCATTTCAAAACACAATACGCGAAGCAAGATATGTGCCTATCATTCTTTCAAGAGTCTCATGCTACCTAGCTGGATTTCTGAATCACAGAACTGAACTGCAACTTCCATACCTGTGTAAACTGCTGACCTATTTTGTCATGCAACCCAAAAATGAGTTGAGCCCATTCTTCAGAGCGACAGCCACACACATCCCTCACTTTGATAACACTTCCATTTTACAACATAAAGATTTCTTTCTTTCTTTCCACTCTCCCAACTGCATCTAGAACTACATTAGCTGAGAAAATGGTTACAACTGGCTCAAGTTCACTTAATACCTGAATGAAGATCTGTTGAATAAAGTTCTCACTGAAATACTTTTAACACACCAGATTCTAGGCCATTTTTATCACTCTTATACCAGTAGTCTGAGTTCACACATTGATTGGGTTTAGACAAAGTTGAATCGTAAGCCACCTTTTATAAACCTTCATGACTAAATCAAAAAATGTTAAACCATCGCCAAATACTTACGAGACCGCCTTCTGCCACCAATAGCCTCCCACCGGCCAGTACGCTCACACAGAGTGGGCCTCCTCAGGGTGCCGTCCGCCAGACAATGTCGGCTGGCGACCCCCAGGGGGAGAGCCTTCTTTGTGACGGCGCCCACCCTCTGGAACAACCTTCCCCCAGAGTTACGTACAACAACAGACCTCTGGATTTTTCGTCGGGCCCTAAAAACCTATTTATTTCAACTAGCTGGGCTGGCTTGAGTTAAATTTTAAATTGATTTTAAATTGGGTTGTTTTAATTTACGGCCAAATATTTAATTATTTTAATACTGTTTTTAAATTTTGTATGCTCTGTTTTTACCTTGGCTGTGCACCGCCCTGAGTCCTATTTGGAGAAGGGCGGTATAGAAATTTAATTAATAAATTAATAAATAAATAAATAAGTGTCTGAGATTCTCAGTCATCATGGTTATCCCAAAAATGCTTTTTCAAGAGGCAACTGGACTTTTTGTTTTTTCTTTGAAGACAGAGCTGAAGAAGCTTCTTGGATGAGAAGCAAAATGTCTTCAAAGAAAAAACAGAAAGCCCAGTTGCCTCTTGAAAAAGCACTTTTGGGATAGCCAGATAAGCACATTATTAGCACAATGTATGAACCCTGCCTTAGGAATGCCAATACACCTGAATTTGAAACATAAATCTCTGCTATTAAAACTATTTAGAATTCTTTATTGGCCAAGTGTGATTGGACACACAAGGAATTTTTCTTTGGTGCATACGCTCTCAGTGTACATAAAAAGACAAGATACATTCATCAAGAATCATAAGGTACAACACTTAATGATAGTCATAGGGTACAAATAAGCAATCAAATCATACTAGGAAACAATGAATATAAATCGTAAGGATACAAGCAACAAAGTTACAGTCATGCAGTCATAAGTGGGAGGAGATGGGTGATAGAAATGATGAGAAGATTAATAGTAATAGTAATGCAGACTTAGTGAATAGTTTCCATCCTATCAAGTTACAGAGATCTATTAGGTGGAGAAAATACCATTAGTATTGGCTCCAGGTATCTCTTAGTACATGCTACTCTTAATAATTAGTACAAATATTAGGTGTTACTAGCAAATTAATAATGTGAGCATGAATTCTTATATAGCTAAACCACATTGCCCATACAAAAGAAGGAAGTAACAGTAGGCAAGAGAGTTTGCAGAAACAGAAAAATAAGGGGCGAAAGGCTAAACGATTTCCACTAAAAGTCAGTGTGATTCAGTGGCTATTGGATTAAGATGGATACATCCAGGTTTACATCCACTCTTCGGTACAGAAAAGTCCCTGGGTCATTGAATGCTACACTCCTCACAGAGTTGCTGCTGTGAGGAGAAAATGAAAGGAAATCACCCCGGAAGCTGCTTTACTGAGCTCTCTCAATTAGAGCAAGATATAAACAAACAAAAAAAAATCAAATAAGCTAGATGAATCCAACTGAAATTATCGTGTTCCACAGCCCCACAACATCAACTGATTCATGGGGATGGAAGGAAATCAAGGAGAAAGCAGAAAGAATAGGAAGGTGTACTGGAGAGAGGGAAATTGTTGCCTGGGTTGCTCTACATGCAAGAGTTTGTCCCTTCTATAACTTTTTAAATTTTTTTTTTTAGGTCTTCAAGCATTTGGATCAAATCACATCACTAAAACAGACATTAGCAAGTGAAAAATCATTTGATTGAAAGCATAGAGTACAGGAAATCGTTGATTTACAACTGCAATTGAGCCCACAATTTTGGTTGTTAAGAGATGACCATTGTAAAGCAGGTCACCATGGGACTGCATCTGATTTTACAACCCTTCTTGTGGTGATTGTTAAGTGAACACAGCAGTTGCTAAGTGAACCCTTTGTTTGATATGGGCCCTTTTTTTGGTGGAAATAAACACCAGTTTCTGGAAAAATATTGAAACTCACAGTCACATTTCCACGGGATGCTGAAAATGGCTATAAGTGTGTGAGCCTTGGTAGTACAGTGGTTTAATGCACCCTGTTATTAACACAGCTGCCTGCAATTTCTGCAGGTTCGAATCTTACCAAGCTCAAGGTTGACTCAGCCTTCCATCCTTTCTAAGGTAGGTTAAATGAGGACCCAGTTTGTGGGGGCAATAAGCTGACTTTGTATAAAAATACAAAAGTATGAAGGCTATTGCTTAACGCATTGTAAGCCGCCCTGAGTCTCCGGAGAAGGGCGGCATATAAATCAAATAAAAAAAAATAAAAATAAAAAAAATAAAAAAAAACTGGTTGCCAAGCAACCATAATGCAATCATGAGACCACAGGGGATCCTAACATTGTAATTCTGAATCTAGGCCATAGTAGCTTTTTTAGAGTCTGACAGAACTTTGAACGGTCACTAAGTGACCAATTGCAAGTCAAGGATTACCTCTAAATCCATTCAGTATTTGCCAACTAAAACACTTGCTGGGTAAAGGCACAAATCGATTAAAAGTAAAGATTGGGTTTCTGAGGCTAAGTAGCATGGATGTCCCCCTAATAATTCTAGCTTCTCACCATCTCTTGGCTCCTCCTGGGTGGCTTCCATGACTTTTCACCTGTTGCAGGCTTATAGTAGTAACTACGCAGGGAGCTGGAGTCTACGTGACGTTCCCAAGCTTCTAGCATCTGTACTGGTGGGCTGCGTGGGGTAGGAGGTGTTGTTGGCAACTGCTTCATCTCCTCCAGATTGTAATAAATTGGAGGCTTCTCCCCAAGGAGAGGTGGAGGAGTATCATCCAACATCTGCTAGAAAGAAGCAGAAAATAAATGAGAATTGGACTTACCGTAACATACTATTCTCATCACTGGAAGGTGGACCTAGTAGGAAAGGATTAACTGTACCACTTTTACTCAGAATGTGAGGCTTAGAATCTCTTCCTCTCCCGTGGAAGAAACTTCATTCACTGAGTAACTATCTCTCAGGCCAATCTACTTCACAAGATTGTTGTGAGGAAGGAGCACTACGTCTGCTGCCTTAAGTGCCTGAACAAATGGTGGGATTTAAAAGAAAAACCTCTAACAAATACAGTAAATCAATAAATTCCACTGTGACGACAAGAACTTGCAATTAGTAGGGTATATGGAATGAGAAAAATAATGTGTAATGAACAGTACAAGGCAGCAAAGTAATTATCTTCTTGATCCTTGGACCGCTTAGGTACTCTTAATCTTCTCTCTTTTCCTAAACAAGTAGAGACTGTAGCCTTCTCCTTCCTTTCTCTCTTGTTTGCAAATAGATGTGGATGAATAGGAGCCAATAGATGGACTTCTCTGCGTGCCAGCAACTGGCTCCCTCTCCTCCCCATAGGTGGAACCAGGTATAATTCTGCTATGTGAAGGAAGGACTCACTGGAGAAGAACCTAATGCTGGGAAAGATTGAGGGCAAAAGATGAACGGGACAACAGAGAATGAGGTGGCTGGATGGAGTCACTGAAGCAGTAGGCATGAGCTTAAAGGGACTCCAGAGGATGGTAGAGGACAAGAAGGCCTGGAGGAACGTTGTCCATGGGGTCGCAACGGGTCAGACACAACTTCGCAACTAACAACAACAACAATAATTCTGCTTTGGAAAGAGCTTCATTTTAGGAATGGGGAAATACTTTTCTTGAGTAGCTTTTCTCTAGTGTCTGAGTTGCATAATGGATACACTAGGCCACGGGTGTCAAACTCGTGGCCCGTGGACCGGATGCATCATGTGCTGGCCACACCTACCCTCGTTTTAGTGAAGGGGAAAAGTTGTGCTACGTCACGTGACAATAATGTGTCGTTGCAAGTTTGATACCCCTGCACTAGGCAATTTATGTGTCCCTTATCCTTTTCTAGGGGTGTCACCCAGTTCAAAACTATTTACTATGTTTGCAAATTCAAAGGTAGACTGTTTACTGCATATAGTCAATACATGATGGAGTTGCATATTGAAAATCTCTGGGATTTCCCTGATATGACAGCTGTGGTGGTGCAGTGGTTAGAATGCCATATTGCAGGCTAATTCTGCTGACTGCCAGCAGTTCGATCCTGACCGGTTCAAAGTTGACTCAGCCCCGGATTGTTGGGGACATTAGGTTGACTTTGTAAACTGCTTAGAAAGTGCTGTAAAGCACTATGAAGCAGTATATAAGTCTAAGTGCTATTGTTATTGCTATATGCACTCACAGGGGCACAAGGAAGAAACCTCCCTGAAGAGTATAGGAATCCTAAACTTGGGGTGTCTCCTTGGCGATGACACACGAAGTCAGACTCAGCTAATTCTTCCACAAAATGCCTAACCTGACATGCTGGCTAGGGAATTCTGTGAGTTGGAGCCCATACATCTTAAAGCTGCCAAGGTTGAAACACTGGCCTAAACCTTTATATGTTAAATCCTTCTATATGCTAAATCCTTTGAGGTCTTTTCATAGTGACGTGTTTTAAGCCAGGAGATTGTCTGTCTGCCTTATAGCACTTTCTAAGCAGTTTACAAAGTCAACCTAATGCCCCCAACAATCCGGGGCCTCGTTTTACCAATCTCGAAAGGATGGAAGGCATTTTCTGAATTTTTGACCTGCCAAGCCTAAAATTTTCACCATCCTAGTTTGACCATGTAGTACTTTCAGGGATGGCTTCATGTCAGCATGAGAGAGTTTTGTGAGAGTTGAATTTCTATGGACTTTTAGGACTGTTAATTCCTCTTGCCATTTCGATTGCCTGTTCTGGCAGTTTCCGGCTAGCCAATCAGATTTTGCTCTTCCAATGCTCCTCATGAAGAGGAAGAAGAATGCTTTTTTCAATACGTCAAAAGAGTCAGCACCAATGGAGGATAAGGATTTTCTCAGTGGCCTTCACCCCTGAAGCACTGCAGGCAAAATTACAGTCAATCCTACCACTTTCCTCCTCCATACTCTGCAATCTCTGGAGACCTAATCAAGCTCTTCCTGCACTTCCTAGGCTATTTTCCTGGCCCGGCATCATAGCACTTTCAGGTGTGGCCTCCTGCCAGCATGCCAAACAAATAGCATATGTTTACCACAAAACACTTCATGCAGGATGGGGAAGAGCCCTGGTTTCGGTCTTCATCATTATTTTCTTTTTATCTCCCAAGATTGAGCCACTAGTTCCTCTCTAGAAAGCAGACAGAAGGCTAAAGTAAGAGGCATTTCCTCTAGTGGAAAAGAAGATGTTCTAAGATCTTTTCTATCAAAACCAGCCCCAGCTATCTAAAAGTGACTTTTACATAATAAAGAGCCAGACTTCCCCTCTCTGCAGGTTACAAGGAAGGATTAATGATATTTCAGGAATTTATGAAATTTTATGCTGGGTCTCATAAAGACAGTGAGCCATCTGAGCTTCAGAATAAACTGAGTAGATTACCTTGGTCATCAAAACATTTGATTATTCAATTGGGAGGTGGGAGAGTCAAAACCATTAAGAGAATCAGGTTATAATTCTATAATCCTGCTGATCAATTTATCCAAGTTCTATCCTATCCTATTTAGCACTGGCTTTGGTTTTTTAAAGTTGCCATGGTCCCTAATCATTTCAATTGTTCTGTGATTTAGTTGAGAACAGAGCAGAATGTTTAAACAAACACATAAATAAATATGCAGTCCTATATCACAGGTTGGGAATAAAAATTGATGCCAACAGATTAGAAAAGATTAGAATTACTGATTTAGAGATCACAGTTACTTTCCAAGTTTGTTCCCATGGCCATATGTAAGGTATGTATGTATGTCTGTCAACAACATTTATGAAATATGTGTATCTCACTGCATTTGCACTGTCACAGCACAATGTGACAAAAGAGTTAAAGTTTTACCTTCTTCCAGGAGCAATTGCAGACTAGAGTCAAACTGATATTTGGCACCTATTGCTTTTAGTTGCATTTTAGAATCAGTACATGCAGTGAAATCACATCAGTCGATTCAGCATTTTAGATAGTTCTAATTTCGACAACTTGAGACATGTAATAAAAGAACTAAGAGCAAGCTCAAGAACAGAATATTTACTCCAATTCCCACAAAATATCAATTTCCCCTAATTTAATTTGTGCCTTAAAAAATTAAGCCAGATACTGGGTTTTACAAAGTTTTAGTGTTTGTAAATTGCTATAAAGCCATTGGAATCAGGAGTCTATAAATTCAGGAAACAAATGCTAAGTAAAAATGCCTAGAATTCAAGGAAATTCTAATGCTCATTGAATAATCAACTGCACAGAATAGCTTGTTTTGTGCTATTACAGTCAATTATGGCTTAATATGATAATAATTAGCATCTTTATGTTTTGCCTAAAGAAATTGAAGGCACTACTGATATTAAAAGCCTTTAACATTCCCATCAGGAAATAAACAAAGCAAAATAAGTGCCATAGATGTCTTAGGAAGAGATATAGTTGGTTTGAGCCCTTCTCCAAAATAGTCATTGGGGTAACTAGAGGGAGGGTCAACACTGCACACTTAGACAAAAGGAGGCAGGGCCTCAATCATTGTGCTCACACTAGACTTCTAAACTTGAAGATGGCAAAGAGCTACTCCCGTTTAAGAGATTGTAAGGATATAAAAACAGAAGGAAAGACATGCTCTTTGCTATTATTTTTTAAACTTTGAATCCCCAGACAACTTTACTGGGAATTGTGGGAACCGAAATCCACTACATTTGGAAGGTACAACCTAAGACTTCATTGGGGTACAGTGTTGGATTTTGGTCAGGAAAATCTAAATTTGTATCCCCCTATAGAATGAGGTCCATCATTTTCTCATGTTCTCTACAGTCTATTAACAAGTTATTTTGAGGATAGAATCAAGTCACTTTTCAATTATGGAACAGGGATATTCCAAATAACTATGTAATAATTAATAAACACCATCCAGAGTCCGACCAGAGTGGAGCAGTTTAAACATTTAATGGATGGATGGATGGATGGATGGATGGATGGATGGATGGATGACAGGTAGACAGATAAACAAAGATACATAATGACCAAGTTTCTTTCTAGCTACTCTTGTCTGAATAGGAAGAAAATGGCAGCTGTGAGTCTTTTCTTATGCTGAACCACAGCTGTTTTACCTTCTGCCCATGTAAAAATTTCCATAAAATCCCACTGACAGATGCATATAGCTCCAGCCAATTCTTCCCAGCTCCACCCAGCTCCATACAGATTCCCTATTAATGCCTATCTACACAGTGCCCTCTCTAGCTTAGTCACAGCTGTGGCTCCTTCTGCCTGCTTGTCTATGTTCATTGCTCAAGAGGAAGTTGAAAACGGGTTGCTTCATGGCAGAAGACTGGAAGAATATTGCTAGTGGTCCAGAGAGTTTCTTCCTCTTCCTCACTTTTTCTCAATTCTGATTATGTCTTCTTCTAAAATCTACCTCTCCGAAATGACCCCCTTTATCCTACCTCAAGTCTTGAGGCCTTCAGAAGTTTTCTAGGAAGCACCGATACCCCCACTCTCTGGTACTTACTACCAGCACCAGCTGTGCGTTTCGGGGCGTGCGCAGAGGAGCTGGCCCTCCCACTAACTTCACCCACATCCTGTGTGGGTGGAAGAGGCTAACCCTCCCTTCCAATCAAGGGAAAGACAAAGAGGAAATTGTGCAAGGTAGCAGGGCAGATGCTCAGATAAGCAGCTCTCACCCAAGCATCTAGTGGAATCTTGACAGAAGAAAAAATATGCGTGCAGCAGTCCACAGCAGTCAGAAACCATGAAGAACATATCATATAAATCAGGATGGAAGGACTGGAACTTAATGCAGTGAAAGCTTAC